GATTCACTTCTACCTGGAGCTGGATTGGGTGGCTCCTGCAGACCAATCAGATTGCTGCATTCTGGATCCTCTGCAGTAGATGTCCAATCCTCTGCATGCCAACAGAGAACTTAGCTGCATGTGAGCATGAGTGAGGCAGACATTGTTTTCTCTTCTGTTGGAACAGAGGAGAGTGGATACCCAGTTTGGACAAAACAGATTGAGCACATACACTCTACCCTTAAAGCTCATGTGGAGCACATTCTTTCCCCTCAAAGAATTGTGTGCCAAGGCACTTGAGCCACAAAGTTCCTAGCAGAACACTAAAACACACCGACACAAAGGATTTTAGTTTATGGGTTCAAACAGGCCACAACTTTATTGGTTACAGATGTGAGCGGTTTGGCTTAGGCATTGGGGTGAAGCCAGGCTATGTCTTGACTCTGCAGGGAGTCCACTTAAGGGCAAACCACCGATAGGGGGCGCCCTATGACTTACATCAGATAGTGGCACACCAAGGGGTCCCCGTAGGGGCTGTGACATGGCCCTAGCCCCCGTCCAGGCTTCGGACAGGATCCACACCCCAGATCCCTTCACAGCAGGGGTAGGCAACCTAAGGTCCGTGGGCCGAATGCAGCCCAATTGCCTTCTCAATCCGGCCTACGGTACGTTCCGGGAATCAGCGTGTTTTTACATGAGGAGAATGTGTCCTTTTATTGAAAATGCATCTCTGGGTTATTTGTGGGGCATAGGAATTCGTTCATTCCCCCCCCCAAAATATAGTCTGGCCCCCCACATGGTCTGAGGGCAGTGGACCAGCCCACGGCTGAAAAAGTTTGCTGACCCCTGCTTTACAAGTTACCCTTACTGAGGCAACTCAGTCTCCAGTATTTTCCTATTATTATTATTATTATTATTATTATTATTTCCTATTATTTTTATTATCATTATTATCCCATCCACAGGTTTTTTTCTTCTTCCTGGATTCAAACTGGAGACACACTATAATCAGAAGGATGTGTATGCACTTTCTCAAATTTTCCCCAAACCACGGGAGCAAACCCTCCCTGTAAATTCAGGACAGCACAGTTTAACTCTGCCCTCGCTCCCATTTCGGAAAGTTCAAGCATGTCTTGAAAATTCCTCAGCTGGTTATTCTGACTGGTGTGTAATTGGAATTTATAAGTTTCTGGAATGCAGAGTTAAAGTAAATTATCAAACCATCAATTCTAGCACTCGCCAGGACGGACGGACGGACAACAAAATAATTTGGCACCTGAACAATTGGCATTATTGATTGTATTATAGTTTGGTATTGTGACCATGAGGCTTTTATTGGGTTATTGTAATTGAAAACTAATAAAAATTATTGCACAAGAAAATTCCTCAGCTGCAGTGAGCTACATGAAGGAATCCTACTATGGATTTGCTCCCTGTCTACAGCGAGCACTTAAAAAAAAAAGTTATTATTTTTAAAAGCACCTTAAAGGCTAACGCAATGCTACAGCATAAACTTTCATAGACTGGACTCCACTCCATCACATACATTACATTAAACAGGTAGGTGAAAGGAGGATAACATCTAAAGGAGAGAGAGAGAAATGTTAATCATGAGAACGGAGGAAAATGAAATACAGATATTAGGCAGTCGCTCCCTTTTTAAACACACCAAAGATACAGGCAGCTAAGGGAAGCTAAGCTCAACTCCCTTCTTACCTGCTCTCACCTTACCTGGCTGCATTCCATTGCTTCAAAAACATTTTCTTCACCTTGACTCCTTTAAGTTATTGGAGCTGGGCTGGGAGAAAAGTGCTTTAAAGGAACAGCAAGCTGGCGGGGACAGGGTTTGTTCCCAGCTTATGTGCTCCTCCTTTCTGAGGAGATGAGAGAGGGAAAGGAAGGAAGTAGCTAGCATGCTAGGGTATTCATCCATTTTGCCCAGTATTGTTTAGCTCTGCTAACCAGAGCCGAGTGCAAAAATGAGGGAGCACATTTTGAGTGTAGGAATTTCTTTTCAGCACCGGTACTGAACTGAGACCACAGACCTTTCGCACAAAGGCCTGCTCCTAACTTTCTTCATTTCAGCAGCCTAATGTAGTTGGGGACAGGGTGGATAAAAATCAGTGATTTTTTAAAATAATAATAATAAAAATCAGATTTTTTAAAATTTAAATTAGATTTTTTAAAATTTAAATTGGATTTTTAAAAATAAAATGCTTTTGCAGAAAAAAAAATCTTTATAAAGATAGTTTTCTGTTTAAGTTACATTATAGTCCAAAGGCTATTTGTCAGCAAATAAGGATTTGTTCTAGGTTTTTCATGTGTACTAAAACACAGTGTAAGTTGTTTGTTTTTTTTAAAAAAAGTTTAACCACATCGATTAACAAACATGGATACATATGCTATAATGTTATTGTTTTAGTCAGATGAATTGTCTAAATTGTTCTTAAGGAAATGATTATTTTTCTCCTTCCAATAAAGCACAGCAGAAAAGTTGTCCAAATATAAGCAATAATTTCATAATTATCTGTCTACGCATTTCTGATAGAATAACTAAATCACTAATTTTTGATGTAACTGTAAAAACTACTCTGAATATTTATTATTCCAAAAACGAAACCTTCCTCTGGTTGTAAATACTAAGAGGATGCCAGCAAGGTTGAATCTTTCAGTAAAAATGATTTAAATCAAGCCTTATGGACTAGTGATTTAAATCAAGTCTTACTGACTAGTGATTTAAATTGATTTGATTTAAATCAAATCCACTCTGGTTGGAGGAAAGCCATTTTGATGTTGGGATTGTTAAGTAATTGGTGACCTTTGCTTATCCCCAGAGATCTGTCAGCACAGCCAGATCTAACTTCTGCCAGCCTCTGCCAACGTGCTGCCCCTTTTAAGTGGGGATGAAACCCAGGCCCTTCCACACAGAAAGCAAATGTTTGGCCACTAAGCTATGTGATGCCCTTCCCTTTTCCTCCATGTGAACAGGACAAACGGCTGCTCACTGCATCTAGTTCTCTAATAAATAAATAAACAAGCAAAACAAAGAAAGGGAAGATCAAATAAAGAGAAGATACATACTGTAAGGGGACGCGGGTGGCGCTGTGGGTAAAAGCCTCAGCGCCTAGGACTTGCCGATCGAAAGGTCGGCGGTTCGAATCCCCGCGGCGGGGTGCGCTCCCGTTGTTCGGTCCCAGCACCTGCCAACCTAGCAGTTCGAAAGCACCCCTGGGTGCAAGTAGATAAATAGGGACCGCTTACTAGCGGGAAGGTAAACGGCGTTCTGTGTGCTGCGCTGGCTCGCCAGATGCAGCTTGTCACGCTGGCCACGTGACCCGGAAGTGTCTGCAGGCAGCGCTGGCCCCTGGCCTCTTAAGTGAGATGGGCGCACAACCCCAGAGTCTGTCAAGACTGGCCCGTACGGGCAGGGGTACCTTTACCTTTACCTTTACATACTGTAAGGTCAACCTTACAAGGTTCTTGCAGTGATAAGGCAGGTGAATTAAATACCGTATTTTTCTGTGTATAAGACGAGTGTTTTTTTATCCAAAAATAATATAAAAAATTGGTGGTCATCTTATACACAGGTGGTGCAGAGGGTAGGCGCTACACAGCAGTGATTGGGCCTGTGATTGGTGTATGCGGCCAGGTGGGGTTGGGATTTGTTGTTGTTGTGGCAATTGGTCGGGCGATTTGTGGCTGCGTTCGGTCAGACGATTGGAGCATAGCTGTCAACATTTCCCTTTTTTAAAAGGGAAATTCCCTTATTCCGAATAGGATTCCTTGCAAGAAAAGGGAAAAGTTGACAGCTATGGATTGGTGCCTTCTGCGAGGCGTGCTGTGGTCAGGTGGTTGAGTGATTGACAGCCACCCCCACCCCCATAAAAAGCTGGACAACTCTGGGCAATTCCCCCCCCCCAAAAAAAAGCTTAACATCTCCTCCCCAATTTCTTAATTTGGAGTCCCAAAGAATAGGGGTCGTGTTATACACGAACAAATACGGTACATCAACATCACCCTTATTCTTATCCTTCCATAGGACCCAGAAAACAATACATTGTGTAACAAATGCTATCCAGCCCAAATCATATGGCAACCAAGGCTATATACCTGGGGCAGCAAAAATGAAACAATAATAATCTGTTCTAACCATTTGCTGTCCTTTCATGATATCCGAACTTTTCTGACTGAGCCTCACTCCCAGCGATCCAGTTTGTGAATTGGAAGTGGGGACTGGATCACCAGTAAAGTGTGTGTGTGTGTGTGTGTGTGTGTGTGTGTGTGTGTGTGAGAGAGAGAGAGAGAGAGAGAGAGAGAGAGAGAGAGAGAGAGAGAGATTGGGGGGGGGCGGACTTCTAGGAGGCTTTGGGAGAGATTTTGGAGCTGCCAGTCCACCCGGAGCATGCCGTTATTTCAGGATCCGAGTTAAGAATGTCAGAAAGGAGCGCGGTGGCGAGGAAGCGTCTGCGCTGGAAGCCAACCCAGACATTGCCTGCCGGAAGAATCACCTGTAACAGGTGAGCAGGCAAAAACGCGAAGATCTTGCCGGAAGGCACTGGCCTTCCTTACAGTGATCCTCCGCAGGCTTGGGATCCACGGCAAGAAGTCGACCAACTTAAACCTAGCAAGAACCGGCATTTGCGGATCTGCTTCTGGCTCTAACTTCACGGCCCCACCTGGCGACTCTTTACGCGCAGGCTCCGCCTCTGAGATCGCTCAGAGAGCAGCAGGAGACTCTTGAATATGAGGGTCTTGGGTTCGAGTCGCATGTTGGGCAAGAAAAAGATCAGTGAAATGTTGGGGGCTGGCGTTCTCCCACGTTTCCACAAACCCCATCGCGCAATATCCCTCTCCTTCCCCACCTCTCCCTCTCTCTCTTTCCCGTGGCAAATGCTGCGAAGTTCAACGCACAAGCCCACTTCGCTTCGATTTCAAAGCGGAACGAAAGGGATCGCTCAGCTTTGGGGCGGTGAAAATCCGTGCAAACCTGCGGGAAAAAAGTGAGTGCCAAGCGCTCCTTGCATCCGCGCCACCCCCACTTGCGTCTCCGGGGGCGGATCCTGCTCGCTTCCTGCGCGCAATCGTGAGTCACTCCGGCTGCGCATAAAGGCAGCAGGTCCGCGCCAGCTGCTCCAGACTCGGAGATCACTTCAAGAGCACAAGCTGCGGATCTTGAACGGTGCTGGGCAGCTAGTGAAAGCTCCTCCTCGGGAATATCTATTTATCTAATAATAATATTATATTATTATTTATTTTATCATATCCGCGATTTCGGAAGCTGAGCCTGCTATTTTGTGCGCTAAAAATGATTGCACCCTGCGTTGTCTTGTTTTCTCTCTTGGCCGTCAGCCAAGCAGGTGAGTGCTGCTGATCTTTCTAAAATTAAGTCTGTGCTATCTACAAAAAAATTCAGTGCTGTGTTGAGCTGGGATGGTGGGGCCACTTACCTTCGGTGCAAATCCTACTGACTTCCTAGGCTTGCGCATTGCTAGCTCTTTTTGTCCTTTTCCTGGCGCTCTTCGGGTTTTTAAGAAAGGTTCCTGGCTACGCTTACCATTCAGAGTGGCGATGAAAAAAAACCGAAGACCACCGATGCTGTTTTGTTGCAATATATGCAGGCTTGAACTTTGAAGGAGCCTGGAAATGTTTAAGTAACCCTGAAATGAGAGGTTAACTTGTAAAAGTGCTGAAAGTTGAGGGTGTCTCACACAGCAGTCCCCCCAAAAGTATTTTTTGGGTCAGGTTAGGTTAGGGAAAAAATGTCATGAAGGGGAGAAGTCTTAGTTATGGACTATAGATAAAAGTATTTAGAGTTTTTGGACTGTAAGAACATGAGTGGTTTTATCCTTGTATCTATGAATGTATTTTAACTGAATATAATTATTTCTGGCTTTGTCTCCTCGGCACCTATGTTGTCTGAATCAGGGTTAATTTCCTTTAACAAAAGGCAAATGTAGAGGGGGGAAACCAGTATCTCCTGGTGCTTTTCCTCCTGCCTTCCATGCACTCATTCTGAAAAGATTAATGAAGCAGTAACTAAATATTACGCCCATTCATACCCTTTCTTCTTCCTTGGCCAGGAAAAGTTATGTAAGGGAGGGCACGGAGCTGAAAGCATCAAAAGTGTTTGATGGTGGTGCTAAGGGCAGCCTTTTTCTGTACGTCATTTGCCTAGCCTGGGGAGAGGCACCGTAACTTCTGTTTTCAAACTAGTGTGTGCTTACTTTCTTTTTTACATTCTTTTATTTATGTGTGGATAATCCATGCTGCAGAGTCAATTGCATATAAATGGTTACCAGTGATTTTCAGAAGTGCATCCTGCTAAGTATCTTCTTAGGAGACGTTCAGAAACTTTGAGAACCGCTGGGGTGGCATAGAGGAAGGATTAGACATCAATGCCGGCAGTACTCTGAGGCTTTATTAGAAGTTGCTGGTATCATTATGTTCACTTGAAAGTGAACTTAAGTTTCTTAGAGCACAAACCTAATCAGAGGAGGAAGCCTAATTGGAGCTTGTTCTCAGATATAGGGGTTGTAGCCTTAGATATGCAATATAATGTCCTAGATGAAAGCTTTGTTTCATTTCAGGGATATGTGTTATATTTGCCTGCCTTTGTTCCTGCCAGTGGTACTAATTTCTGCTAACATGATCTAGTAAAAGTTGTACATGTTTCATAAGAAAGACTATTGCCCAATAATTTAAATATTACGACTAGTGAAATCCATTCTTCGGGGTTTATATGGAGTAGGCAATTGCCTTCTCTTCCATCTTTGCCTAGAGCAGACTCCCCATTCAAGAAGAGTTTTTTTCCAGCTGAAAGTTCCTATGAAATGACTCTTCGGTGTTAGTGTGTCTGCAGAAGCAGCAGCTATGGCAGAAATCATTTCCCCAGCAACAATACAGGGGTGCTAGTGATGATTCTGTAGGCAGCTGCATTTAGAACTATTTTCCAAAATTGGGGTGCTTTCCACCCAAGATACAGTGGTACCTCGCAAGATGAATGCCTCGCAAGACAAAAAACTCGCTAGACGAAAGGGTTTTTGGTTTTTTGAGTTGCTTCGCAAGACGGAAACGTCTTGCAAGTTTGTTTCCTTTTTCTTAACACGGTTAATACAGTTGCGACTTGACTTCGAGGAGCAACTCATGGAACGTGGTGTGGTAGCCTTTTTTGAGGTTTTTAAAGACTTTGGTGATTTTTGAAGCTTTTCCAAAACTTTCCCGACACCGTGCTTCGCAAGACGAAAAAAAATCGCAAGACGACAAAACTCGCGGAACGAATTAATTTCGTCTTGCGAGGCACCACTGTAGTTAGATCTGCCTCCTGCTGCTTCTTCATGCTCTCAACAGCTGCACCATAACCTCATGTGCGTGATGCACTAACAAACTAGAAAGGCTGGATGCATTCTGTGGGCAAATATAATATGATGGTATCAAGTGGCAGTTGGTCTCTAGGGAACTAATCAATTAGCATTGGTCCAAGGGCCTTTATAAGACTCTAGATCTTGCTTTGACAGCACACCTCTTGATTCCCTTCCAGTTAATCCTTGCTGCTCAAATCCATGCCAAAACAGAGGAGTCTGCATGACAGCAGGATTTGACCGCTATGAATGTGACTGTACGCGGACTGGTTATTACGGGGAAAACTGCACTACACGTACGTATTCCAGAAAGTTACGCTCGCACAATTAGCATTTAGGAGCATTTAACAGTTTTTGCTAACGTTCATTGCGCTTCGTTCCTTACAGCGGAATTTTTTACTTGGCTGAAAGTGACGCTGAAACCCACACCGTCCACAGTCCACTACCTTCTCACTCATTTCAAAGCAGTCTGGGATGTAATCAACAACTTCCCTTTCCTCCACAATGCCATCATGAGATACGTATTGATGTGTAAGTATCCATATCTCTTAATTCTCCTTTTACACCACAGTCCCGTACTCATCTACTCAGAAGTAAGTCTCTTTGAGTTCATTGGCACTTGCTCTCGGGTAAATGAGCATTGGACTGGAGGCTTAAGCTTGGGGGTAGATATTTACCCAAGCACTTTGAAGTGCTATATGTTGGTTCCAATTTATTTTGATCTAATGCAGTAACCGCACTCTAGCCACTCAGCCTTCTAATAAATGGCATTAGGCAAAGCAATGGCTAAGTCAAGCTTCTTCTTTGGGTGCCATCTGCCTCTTTTTGAAGATAAGAGCAAAAGTTCAAACGTTTCTTCAAAGTCCATGTATGGTTTAGCCATTGTGCGTGACAGGGGTGGGGAATCTCTGTCAAAGAGTTTTGAGCACCCTCGCCAAACTCCAGTTCTTGGGAATCTGAGAGAAACCATTGATGGACATTTTAAGTGTAAGAATATTTCGACGTAGTTGCAACCAAGAGACAAAAATGTAGAGAGAGTAAAATTGAAAATGGATTTTTACATTCCGCGTCACTTCTGAAAATGGACTTTTCAAGGTCAGATGCTTACCCCCTGTGGGGCTTAGACTGTGAAACTAGACTGTGTGGGAAGTCTTGTGGGGAAGGTGTCTCTGTCTCCATACTGTGGTCATTTGAGCATGGTCATAATTTTTCTGGTCCTTTCTCTCCCCTTCCAGCAAGATCCCATTTAATAGAGAGCCCACCAACATATAACAGCCATTATGGATACAAAAGCTGGGAAGCCTTTTCGAACCTTTCTTACTATACTAGGACTCTTCCGCCGGTAGACCACAACTGCCCAACCCCTATGGGTGTGAAAGGTAAGAAGGGGGGGGGGATCTGTGCATGTGAATGTAAGAAAAAATGAAATATTATTCCTTCTGTATGTACACAAGGCCAGTGGGGGCAACGCTGTCCTCCCTTCTCAATGCAATGGTTAATTATGTTCAGTGAATGCCTGAAAATGGCTTAAACATTAGAAAATATGTCTGAAGGAGAAACACAAGATATTGAGTGTGCATTGCAGCACATATTTTCCCAGTGAAACGTTCTGTCGTCCTTTGTCAAAGGAACAGAAAAATTGCTGTGGTTGTATATCAGCCAACAGGTTGTGTGTATATTGAATGAATAACTAACAGGTTTAAACCAAGACAACTATATTTAGTATAGTAATTAACAATCGGACAGGTTCCAAAGTGCAAAGAAACTATCAACATGCATTAAGCTGGGGTTTGACATTTTTAATTCTTCCTGTCAAACTCCTGTAGAACAGACAGGAAACGGCTGCAGTTATTCAGTCTCTAGTGCATGGGTAGGCAAACTAAGGCCCGGGGGCCGGATCCGGCCCAATCGGCTTCTCAATCCGGCCCGTGGACAGTCTGGGAATCAGCGTGTTTTTACATGAGTAGAATGTGTCCTTTTATTTAAAATGCACCTCTAGGTTATTTGTGGGGCCTGCCTGGTGTTTTTAAATGAATAGAATGTGTGCTTTTATTTAAAATGCATCTCTGGGTTATTTGTGGGGCATAGGAATTCGTTCACAAAGTCTGAGGGACAGTGGACCAGCCCCTTGCTGAAATTGTTTGCTGACCCCTGCTCTAGTCCCTTTGGGTGTCTGAAAAATAAATGATTGCTTTGCATTCCAGGTAAGAAGGAGCTTCCCGATTCCAAGCTCATTGTAGAGAAATTTCTACTGCGGAGAAAATTTATTCCTGATCCACAAGGCACAAATATCATGTTCACATTCTTTGCCCAGCATTTCACCCACCAGTTCTTCAAGACAGATCATCACAAAGGACCAGCCTTCACCAAAGCTCTTGGACATGGGGTAAGATGGCAGAACTGTGACTTGGACTGATGAGTTATTGCAAACAAACCTTTTTATCAACTCCTGCGGTGAGAGGATTATCTTGCCATCCACAAAGGAGTTGCATCAATATTGTGATAGGCAGAATGTACAGCAAATCTTTCTTGCAAAACCTCAGAATAGCCTGTTCCCACAATGTTATGTGCCCACTGTGTGGGAGAACCATTTGACTTTATTTGGTCAGTCTCTAAAATACATAGCAATTAGGTTCTCCTCAATTTATGGGAAAATAACTATTGCATCCCTGAATTTGGGGTGAAAAATGCAGTTGGTGTGTGTGTGTTTATAAACCAGTTTTGTCTGCAACGCAACTTTCTAAGATAACACTTTAAGCAAGGGTGGTGGTGAGTTATACTGTTGTAATAGTGGTTGTTTACAAGGGCTCCTGTTTTTTGAAGTTGTCATTGAGGACAGCGCAAAAACTTGAAAGAGCTGCGCTTCCGAAATTTTATTGGTAATGACATTTGAGAAATAACATTGTTTTCCAACACTTTTAATGAGTGGAGAGAACTCTCGCTTCCATTGGAACATCACTTCAACATATTATGTTCTGAAACATTTAGAGGGAGAATCTAATCATTTTTCTGTCTCATCTGACAAATTAAAATTAGACTTTGATGTTCCTATTTTTTCAACAGGTTGATCTAAATCACATCTATGGAGAAACTTTGGACAGGCAGATGAAACTCAGACTATTTAAGGACGGGAAGCTGAAATTTCAGGTTAGTTTGGATTCCTTCTGAAATTCCTGCAGTGTGCTGAGAAAACGAGAGCATCACTTATGTTAACATCTTTACCAGGAAGAGAGGAGCTTTCGTGTTTCCTTTGATGCAGAGAAACGCCACAGGCATTTCAATAACTGCATCAGACACCCTTTTCTTACTAGATAACTATGTGCATCTAGATCAGTGCTACAATTTACAACAACCCCCTGTACTTGAAACCCAATGGAAATTGACAAGTATAAACATATTATATTTTCACTGGATTTTAGTATTCTTGGCTGAAATTCAGTATGATAGAAGATTCTGTGTGTTGCCATGCTCATTTATTTATTTTGTAATTACAGATGATTGATGGAGAGATGTACCCACCCACGGTCAAAGAAACTCAGGCAGAAATGATTTATCCACCACACGTCCCTGAGCACCTGAAATTTTCTGTAGGGCAAGAGGTCTTTGGTTTGGTTCCAGGGCTGATGATGTACGCCACATTATGGCTCCGGGAACACAACCGGGTCTGTGATATTCTGAAGGGCGAGCATCCGGAATGGGATGATGAGCAGCTGTTCCAAACTGCCCGGCTGATCTTAACAGGTAATTCTTACAATCACTCATAGTTAACACACAATTACTTGATTAAATTTTGCTGCTGCTAGATGTGGCAATAACCATCACCTAAGATGGCTTTACATGGGTTGAGACAAATTCGTGGGCCAACATCATCTGTTGCCTATGTTGTCTAAGCAGAACATCCATGTATAAAGGCAATAGGTTGTATGAATATGGAATAGGAACCTGAAAGAACGGCTTATTACCCTTTTGCCTTGATTCTGAGTTTCCCAGGGACATTTTGTTGGCCACCATTGGAACTGTGTTGCCAGTCAAAATGCATTCTTGGTCTGAATCAGGAAGGCCATTTTTGTATTCTTCAGCATTCAATATTGTTTAGGAAATATAAGAGATCAGGAGGTGCTGTGGTCTAAACCACTGAGCCTCTTGGGCTTGCCAATCAGAAGGTCGGCAGTTCAAATCTCTGCAACAGAGTGAGCTCCCGTTGCTCTGTCCCAGCTCCTGCCAACCTAGCAGTTTGAAAGCACACCAGTGCAAGGAGATAAATAGGTACTGCTGCGGTGGGGAGGCAAATGGCGTTTTTGTGCACTCTGGTCTCCATCACGGTTTCCCCTTTGCGCCAGAAGCTGTTTAGTCCTGGTGGCCACGTGACCCGGAAAGCTGTTTGTAGACAAACGCCAGCTCCCTCGGCCTGAAGAGAGATGAGCGCCGCAACCCCATGGTTGCCTTTGACTGGACTTAACCGTCCAGGAGTCCTTTACCCTTTTATTGTTTAGGAAATGAAAAGACTGACTGACTTTTGTTTTCTGTGGGGAAACAGGAGAGACCATCAAGATTGTGATTGAAGACTACGTGCAGCACCTGAGTGGCTACCACTTCAAGCTGAAGTTTGACCCAGAGCTGCTCTTCAACCAGAGATTCCAGTATCAGAACAGAATAGCGGCAGAATTCAATACCCTTTACCACTGGCACCCTCTCCTCCCTGATACCTTCCAGATTCATGACCAAGAGTACACATACCAGCAGTTCATCTATAACAACTCCATCATGTTAGAACATGGTCTTTCCCACATGGTGGAATCCTTCTCCAGGCAAAGGGCTGGAAGGGTAAGAATTTATTTTCTACTAAGAAATTGCATAGCCTTCATCTCGAGGCAACAGGGTACATCTGTCCACCTGTTAAGTCACTCCAATATCTGAAAATGTTTTGAGCACGGGAAGAATGATTAGGGAAAGGGGAAATTTGTGGCACAGTTTTAGACAGCCTTCGACTTTCTCTATCGTATTTCAGACAGGTGAATAGCATGAGCAAGTTTCTCACTGTAAATCCAAGAGATGGATAAATGTTTGAGGTCCATCTGATATCAAAGGGGCTTGAAGTTCTGATCTCCATGTGGTTTCTCATATTACTCCATTTCTTTGATAACAGGTAGCTGGTGGGCGGAATGTCCCTGCTGCGGTGCAGAAAGTAGCGAAAGCCTCCATTGATCAAAGCCGACAGATGAGATACCGCTCCTTGAATGAGTATCGGAAGCACTTTATGCTGAAACCTTTTCAGTCATTTGAAGAGCTCACAGGTAAGACTTGATCTCTACTTATAGAAAAACAAGAGCTTCATTTTGGGGGGCAAGGCTGCACAGCTTAGAGATCAAACTTCTGCTTTGCATGGGGATGTTTGGGGTCCAATTCTTGACATCTCGACTTAAGGGAATGCAGTTAGCAGGTCTGGGATTGTGTAGGCAGCTAAAGGCTAGATGCTCCAATAGGTTGGGTTAGGCTAGGTCATAGTTCAGTTCTATGCTGCCTCTCATCCCAAAAGGCCCTCAAGTTGGCACTCAAATGTTCAAATCCAAATCCAAGATTCAAGCAATATAACCAATAAATGAATTACTCCGTATTTCAAGAACTTGTTGTTTGAAAAAAAGTGTTGAGTTCTTGTAGAAAGGCTCTGTTGTCTTTCATTGGAGATTGGGTAGGTGCAGCTCCTCTGCCAAGATTCCTCACTGTCATTTCAATCTGCAATGAGAGATGTTCAAAAGGAAAACTACGTTCTAAGGATGAAAAGGAAGAAAATAGACTCTTATGGGGGGAGCTTCTATGTTGGTTTTCATGAAGAAAATTCTGTGTCAATCAAAGACCTTGCGAAGATATCTTACAGACTTGTTATTTCACTCATTCTTCTCCAAGTGCATTGATTTTTCCCCTGCTGATGCAACTTTTCTCTAGAATTACAGACTTGGATATTTCTCTCTCTCTCTCTCTCTCTCTCTCTCTCTCTCTCTCTGCTATTATTTTCTTCTGTATTACTTTCATGGCAGCTTTTGCAACAGCTAGAAGCCTCTCCCTGTCCTCTATAAGGCAATTTCCATTCTCCTTTTCAGAACCTTATAGAATAATTACTTAGTGATTTAGAACTGAATACAAAACCGTGGAGAAAAAGGCTGAAGTTTTACTACTATGTGGTTTTTTTTGGTCTCTCTATTCCAGGAGAAAAAGAAATGGCTGCAGAACTTGAAGAACTCTATGGGGATATTGATGCTATGGAGCTGTACCCAGCCCTCCTTGTAGAAAAACCACGTCCTGGAGCCATCTTTGGTGAGACCATGATAGAACTTGGGGCACCGTTCTCCCTGAAAGGTCTCATGGGAAATGCCATCTGCTCACCAGAGTACTGGAAGCCCAGCACCTTTGGGGGCAAAGTTGGCTTTGACATAGTGAACACAGCCTCCATCCAAAACCTTATCTGCAACAATGTAGAGGGCTGTCCTCTTGTGGCTTTTCACGTCATAAACCCAGCAACAGCAGCAACGAAAAACGTCAGCACCTCCAGCACAGCAAGAGACGAGATCGGCCGAGCTGTGCTACTAAAAGAGCGCTCTGCTGAACTATAGGGAACAGCTATTTGCATATTTATTTATTTATGATATCTATTATATTGTTGTTTTTGTTGTTATTTATAGTTCAGGCAAAACACCATGGATTTTTTTTCCTGTGCCTTGGCATCTAACCCACGATGCCAGACTTAAAGGGGGAGTTCTGCTTAGATTTGTAGGACTGGATCCCTTGGTTTTTAAGACTATCTTCTGTACCAGAAAGATGTATTCCAAAATGGATCAGGGCATTAGATCTGCTGCTTAAACTTGAACATAAACAATAGCTCTGCCTCTTAAACTTGACAGGTATGATCCTAAATACAAAACTATGTTACGTGCTTGTTATCTGAGAGTCTGGAAGTGCTCAACTTTTTTAAAAAAAACAGAACAAAAATCCAGAACAATTCTGGAAATCTGTGATCATGAAAACTGTCCTTTTACAGAAATCTTTGCACTTTACAAAATGAATGTAGAATCCTTATGGTTTAGCCAAAGTTAAGGATTTTTACCCCCTGTTTATAGTAAACTTGGTAGGGTGCACAAACACTTAAACTGAGAGGGAGCATGGATGCAAATTTGGGGAAAAGGAAAATTTATTTTCACTACCTCTCCCATGTGACACAGCAATAGGTTTTGATAATGGACTGATCTTCATTTTGTTTGTGTCTATAACTGCACTTCCCTTCTATTGCAAACAAAGTTCCTTCCTCTTCTAAGAGTAAAACCACAACTGTGTAGGACGCAACCCAGTGAAACCATTCACATGTAATTCCTCTTGAAATGTATAGGAGCTTGTAGTCTCTGCAGAATCTCAATTGCTTTTTAATGGAAAGTTTCCCCCTAGCTCTATGTAATAGGTGACTGGAAGATGAAATGTTACTCTTGGGTTTTAATGCTCCAAACAAAGGCTTGGAACTGTAGATTTCTCTTTCATCATAATTAAGAAGATGTAAAAAGCCAACACAAAAACCAGTCCTTTCTTTTTCCTCCCAAATTAATAGTTTTCAATTATAAAGAGTGGATCCATATCATTTTAATGTCCTTGCAGAGACTCAAAGGCTCTATACAGAACAAGGGTGGACGACCTCTGTTGTAGAATATAACACTAAACTCATTCTTTCTGAACCCTAAAGTGCCTTCAGGTGTTTGAAACTCCATAGAGGAGCCAGTGAGATAGTTGTGCTGCCTCTTTTGAGATGCCTATGTAATGTGGTGGGTGAGATACATCTCTCCCATAAGTAAGAACTGGAGTTTCAGATGTCATTTAGGACTCAAATCGATATGACTTGAGATACAGACCAGTACTGTAAGTTCCCAAGCCCCGTTTAAACACAGCACTTTATGTATACAAAGGCCATTTCAATTTTTGGATACTGACACTGCATTTCTGTTAATATTATTATACTTCAGTTTCTATATTTTTTAAAAAAAATCTATTCCACTTTTCAAGTTGGCTAATGAACATAATTCCTCAAGTAAACCAACAGGCACGTCAATTAATAACTTGGGTATTGTCAATTTTACACATTCAATTAGATGCTAATTAATGGACTGCTAACTTGGGAAATGCAACCTTATTGTAGGTATTAAACCTTTCATATTGCTTAAGAAATGCATGTTTAATAGTATGGTTCTGAAGCCCGTACATTACTCTTGGTTGAAAAACCCTCTGTTATTTGTACTCTGGAAATTGATATAATGATTATCTGTTAAAGCAAAGTGCTAAAGGAAAAAATATCGCTGGAAAAGGAAATATTGGTGTAACCCAAGGAAATATGGACAAAAGTCACCAGGAAACTCTTGAGAAAACTCCATGATGTTTGCTGTTTGTGCTTTTGTAGCACTCAATGGAGGTTGCTCAGGAGAACTTCTGGTGGTTTGTGCCCACAGATTATAGGGCTAATTGTCCTTTTTGAGAACACTCTATTCCATTCCTCTTTGTACTTTTGATTAGTTCAGGCCTAGAAGTTACCTCATCTCTTTCTGATGCCTATCACTTCTCCCATTTAAATTCTTTCTCTTTGAAATTAGGACACTAGTCCTGCCAGTTCCTGAACTTCGTGTTCACTGTTCTTTCCCCACAAGCTTTTACAACCTACCCGGTACTCAGTGCTGTCTCCTCTTCCATGTCTCTTGTAATTATTAGATTGTGAGCCTGTTTTTCTTGGAACCTTTCTTTAAAAAGAAAAAAAAAACATTTTTGTACATTACTTGCAAGTGCCGTGCGTGTTCTAAATAGCTGTAGTTCACTGTATGGTGCCAGTTTTATGGAATTATGTCTTCCTCTGCATTAAGTTCACTGGATATGCATCACGCAGCCTCATTTTGTTCCTGTAATATTTCCATTTTTATAAAAAAAAACCAAAGTATTATTTATCCCAGCCTGCTGGTCTTGGTTGGGCATTTAGAATGATGCCAGATTATGCACAGGGAAGAATTTTGTAGTGACCGCAATCCAGATAACGTTAAGTCACATTTGTGTTGTTGTTGACATCAATGCGATTTAAGCCTATTCTCTGGATTGTGGCCTTATTTATTGCTATAATTTTAAAACTGTTTGGTGGTGTTGTTTTTTTTAACGTTCCATGATGTGCAAAGTGTCCTTCTACAAATAAATTATTTGAAAGCTAATTTGGTGTCTGTTGCATTTTTCAAATCCCATCGCAATGAACACTAGTGCAAGGAGGTGGGGCGTTTTTGTAGCCATGCAGAAGTCGGGTTTCTGCACTCACACATACACACACCCCGGGCATCCTGTGTTCAGGAAGGCAAAAGTCGTTGCTGCAATTCAAGGGCACATTCTCCCCAGGCTGGACTACACAGGGATGTGGTCTGGGAGAGGGATCTGATGAGAGAATCCTGAGGCCAACATTATCCTGGAGGGACCACATTCAACTACAGGCCTTGAACATCTCCAACATGGTGCATGTACCCAAGATTCCTGTTGACTAAGGCTTTGTTACCATTCCCATTTATGTGTACTCAATGCATTTCATAGAATCATAGAATCATAGAGTTGGAATAGACCACAAGGGCCATCGAGTCCAACCCCCTGCCAAGCAGGAAACACCATCAGAGCACTCCTGACATATGGTTGTCAAGCCTCTGCTTAAAGACCTCCAAAGAAGGAGACTCCACCACACTCCTTGGCAGCAAATTCCACTGTCGAACAGCTCTTACTGTCAGGAAGTTCTTCCTAATGTTTAGGTGGAATCTTCTTTCTTGTAGTTTGGATCCATTGCTCCGTGTCCGCTTCTCTGGAGCAGCAGAAAACAACCTTTCTCCCTCTTCTATGTGACATCCTTTTATATATTTGAACATGACTATCATATCACCCCTTAACCTCCTCTTCTCCAGGCTAAACATGCCCAGCTCCCTTAGCCGTTCCTCATTTCCAGTGTCGGGTTTTTACACGAGAGTTATCCAAAGGATATCTGTATCCTACACTTTGGTGGTCAGTCCTACTGTCTGATTCTCAAGCAGGCATCACACCTGTTGGAATCCTTAAGCTGTTCCTCATTTGTCTCTAGCCAAAGTTTGAAAGTGATGTGAAACACACCTAGGAGAGCAGGGTGGGCACAGTCCAGCTTGAACAGGCCTACCATCTCTAGGCTAGGTAGACTTCGAAAAACGCAGTGAAGTGGAGGTCACAAAGAGGATGGATAAATAAGAAAAGAAAAGCTTCAATAATAATAATAATAATAATTTATTATTTATACCCCGCCCATCTGGCTGGGTTTCCCCAGCCACTCTGGGCAGCTTCCAACAAAACACTAAAATACAATAACCTATTAACATTAAAAGCTTCCCTAAACAGGGATGCCTTCAGATGTCCTCTAAAAGTTTGGTAGTTATTTTTCTCTTTGACATCTGGTGGGAGGGCGTTCCACAGGGCGGGTGCCACTCCTGAGAAGGCCCTCTGCCTGGTTCCCTGTAACTTGGCTTCTCGCAGCAAGGGAAACGCCAGAAGGCCCTTGGTGCTGGACCTCAGTGTCCGGGCAGAACGATGGAGGTGGAGACGCTCCGTTTAGGGCTTTAAAGGTCAGCACCAACACATTGAATTGTGCTCAGAAATGTACTGGGAGCCAGTGCATGTCTTTCAAGACCTGTGTTATATGGTCTCAGCAGCTGCTCCCAGTCACCAGTCTAGCTGCCGCGTTCTGGTTTAGTTGTTGTTTCCGGGTCACCTTCAAAGGTAGCCCCACGTAGAGCACATTGCAGTAGTCCAAGCAGGGGACAGGAGGCGGGCAGGTAGGGTCTCAGCCTGCGTACCAGATGGAGCTGGCAAACAGCTGCCCTGGACACAGAATTGACCTGTGCCTCCATGGACAGCTGTGAGTCCAGAATGACTCCCAGGCTGCGCACCTGGTCCTTCAGGGGCACAGTTACCCCATTCAGAACCAGGACGTCCTCCATGCCTGCCCGCCTCCTGTCCCCCAAAAACAGTACTTCTGCCTTGTCAGGATTCAACCTGAATCTGTTAGCCGCCATCCATCCTCCAACTGCCTCCAGACACTCACACAGGACCTTCACCGCTTTCACTGGTTCCGATTTGAAAGAGAGGTAGAGCTGGGTATCATCTGCATACTGATGAATACTCAGCCCAATCCCCCTGATGATCTCTCCCAGCAGCTGCATGTAGATGTTGAAAAGCATGGGGGAGAGGACAGAACCCTGAGGCACCCCACAAGTGAGAGCCCAGGGGTATGAACACTCATCCCCCCCCACCACTTTCTGAACACGGCCCAGGAGGAAGGAGCGGAACCACTGTATAACAGTGCCCCCAGCTCCCAGCCCCTCTAGATGGTCCAGAAGGATGTTATGGTTGATGGTGTCAAAAGCTGCTGAGGGATCCAGCAGAACTAGGAAACAGCTCTCACCTTTGTCCCTAGCCCGCCGGAGATCATCAACCAGTGCGACCAAGGCAGTTTCAGTCCCATGATGAGGCCTGAATCCCGACTGGAAGGGATCCAAATGGTCCGCTTCTTCCAGGTGTGCCTGGAGTTGTTCAGCAATCACTCGCTCAATCACCTTGCCCAAGAATGGAAGATTTGAGACTGGGCGATAGTTGGGCATATTGGCAGCATCTAAAGATGGTTTTTTAAGAAGCAGTTTGATAACCGCCTCTTTCAGCGGGTCTGGGAAGACTCCCTCACAGAGAGAAGCATTCACCACCCTGCGAAGCCCATCGCCCAGCCCTTTCCGGCTAGCTTTTATAAGCCAGGATGGGCAAGGATCAAGGAGACAGGTGGTTGGTTTCACTCATCCAAGCAGCCTGTCCACATCCTTGGAGGTAACAGATTGAAATTGATCCCACGCAACTTGACTGGACAGGACTCTAGCACTCTCCTGCCCCGGTCCTGCTCCCACAGTGGAGTCTACCTCTTCCCGAATCTGAGCGACTTTATCTGCAAAAAACTTTGCAAAATCATTGCAGGAGATCATGTGGCCCGTTCTGGGCCCTGATGTAGCAGGTGGCTCCGCTAAATTGCGAGCCACCTGAAAAAGTCTCCTGCTGCTGTTTTCTGCAGATGCAATAGAGGCAGTGAAGAAAGTCTTCTTCGCCGTCGCTACCCCCACTTGATAGGCTTGACGTTGAGCTCTAACCCGTGTCCGGTCAGCTACAGAATGAGTTATCCACCACCGGTGCTCTAGCCATCTCAGCGATTGTTTCATTGCCCTCAGATCCATGGAAAACCACGGGGCTGATACAATTGTTTATGGAGAAAGAATAACAGAGTTGAAAGGGAACATGAGGATAATCTGTTCCAACTTTAATTGATCACCCCCCCACACACACTGCCACCCTTAGTTTGTTATGAATAATGGGTGGAGTTTGCTTGCTTCAGGTTTATAAGCCATCGCTAACTGGTCCATAAAGGCAGATCATCTACTGGACCTACTCCAGACACAAAATTAGCACCAAGAGCAGAAATTGCTAATCCTGCAGGGGTAAACAACGAGTAGGAGTCATTGTGCCACAACTCCTCAGGAATTTATCTTTATTATAATGTTATCTTTATATTAATATTTATCATATCATATCATATCATCATATTATATACTAAATAACAAAAGCTGAGTCTGCTACTTTCTCCTCAAAGTTAGGAAATGTTTTTAACCTGCATTGTTCTGTTTTCTCTCTCTGTCCTCAGCCAAGCAGGTGAGCATCGTGACTCCTTTCCCTCCTTCTCTGTTGACCCATTTAAATTAGTTATAACCATTTACAAAAGCCAGCACTTTGTTGTGCTGCAGTTGTGTGCCCTCTTGCTTCAACCCAAGTCCCGCTGAGTGCAACAGGACTTACTTCTGAGTAAGGATGGGATTGGGCTGTTAAAATGTACTCCCAAGATGTTTCTCATGGTAGTCTCTTCCTGGAGTTCCTTCGGTATTTAAGAACGATTTGGGGTTACAGTTATGGATCGAAGTGGCTAAAAACCACTGAAAACAACCGGTGGTGTTTGGAAATGTTTAAGTAATCCTGAAATAAGAGGTTAACGTCTAAGTTTCCTGAAAGTTTCACACAGCTGTCCCTAAGAGGCATTTTATGGTCAGGTTAGGTGGACGATGAAGTTGAAGGGGAGAAGAAGACTTAGCAGGAGCTCTACAGATAAGAGTTTAGAGCGCTCTGTTTGGACTGTAAGAGCATGAGTGGTTTTATCCTTGTATCTATGAATGTAATTTAACTGAATATAATTATTTCTGGCTTTGTCTCCTCAATACCCGTGTTGTCTGAATTAGGCTTAATTTCCTTTAAGAAAAGTCAAACGTAGAGAAAAATGCCTGTATTCTGCCTTCTGTGCACTCATTCTGAAAAGATTAATGAAACACTAACTAAAGATTATGCCCCCATTCATGCCCTTTCCTCAATATCTCTGGGTGATTTTCTCATTGGGAAGGAAATGATATATAAGGGAGAGCAAGGGGCAGGAAGCTTTAAAAGTGTTTGATCTTGGAGCTAATAGCAGCCTTTCCCCCTCTATATCATTTGTGTAGCCTGAAAAATGGGGAGAGGCATTGGGACTTCTGTTTTTAAACCACTGTATGCTTTGTCTCTTTTTTTACATCTACTCATGCAGAGGCAAAAGCAGGTAAATGATTTCCAGTGGTTCTGGAAGCGCTTATTGCTAATTATCCTTTTAAGAGATGATAAAAAACTTTTAGAGCCACGTTCGGGGGCAGGGGGGGTGCGGTTTAGAAAATGCAATGTCACTTATACTTTGAGTCTCTGAGACCATACATCAAATGCCATTCTGGGGCAGTGAAGATATAGGAAGTGATAGGATCAGATTAAAACCTGCTGAAATAATTAAATTCTCTTCTAGGTGCACAAGACTATACATGCCCACCCAATGGGGCTTGCTTTGGTTACGATGGAATGGGATTCGACAGAGCAGGATAAACTTGACTTTCTGATCTTCTTGTTTTAATTGCCATTGACTGTTTAAATCGCTATGCTTTTGAAGTGGCTTGTTTCAGTGTGTATTTTAATTAAGAATGTTTTAATGCTTTGGTGGATCTGTTTTATTTTTGCATAGCTTTTATAATTTGTTTTATAGTTTCAAACCTCCTGGAAATGATTTTGGCAAGCAAGTAGCATAAAGATGAATAGCTGAATGAAAACCATAGTATATTTAGATCTTGCATTACATTTGCTCCTGCAAATGAGAGTAATTTCTACCTGTAGGTTTTAGTTAAGATTATACCGTATTTTTCGGTGTATAAGACACCCCCATGTATAAGGCACCCCCTATATTTGGGGACTCCAAATTAAGAAAACACCCCTCAACACTACCCATGTATAAGACGAGCCCTAATTTTAAACCTAATTTTTTGGTTTAAAAACCTAGTCTTATACACGGAAAAATACGGTAAATCATACAGAATGACTCTTATTCAAGGATTCGAATATTTGGACTAATGAAATCCATTGTGTGAGATTTGCATGGAGAAAGCCATCACATTTTCCTCCATCTTTGCCAATAGTAGACTCCCCTTAATTTCATCCAGAGTTTTTCTACAACTAAACGTTCAACTAGAAAGACCTTTCGGTGTTAGTGTGTCTTCCTACTGTAGCACCAATGGAAGAAAGCAACATTGCCAGGTTGCTAATAATGACACTGAATGAAGTTACTTATTTATTATTATTGCATTTATCTCCCATCTTCCCTCCCCAAGGAGCCCAGGGCAGCAAACAACAAGCAGCAGAACAACAAAAACATCTTAAGAACATTAGCTGAAGGTGTAGATGTTCAGCAGATGTTCTTAAGAACAATTCCAATACTGATGCACACTGGGACAAAGCCTACTTCAAAGGCTTGTTTCAAAGGAAGGTCTTCAGTAGGTGTAAAAAACACAACAGAGGTGGCACCTGTCTAATATTTAGGTAAAGGTAAAGGGACCCCTGACCGTTAGGTCCAGTCGTGACCAACTCTGGGGTTGCAGCACTCATCTCACTTTACTGGCCGAGGGAGCCAGCGTACAGCTTCTGGGTCATGTGGCCAACATGACTAAGCCGCTTCTGGTGAACCAGAGCAATGCATGGAAACACAGTTTACCTTTCCGCCGGAGCGGTACCTATTTATCTACTTGCACTTTGACGTGCTTTCAAACTGCTAGGTTGGCAGGAGCTGGGACTGAGCAACGGGAGCTCACCCCGTCGTGGGGATTTGAACCGCCAACCTTCTGATCGGCAAGCCCTAGGCTCAGTGGTTTAGACCAACAGTGCCACCCGCTGTGACAGGAGTTAATTCTACAGGGTATGGTGTCACCAGTTCTTATATTGTACAAAATGAACCTTGTTATAAGATGTTAGCTGCTGGAGGCCCTCAGCTGCAGAGCTCAGGTACTGACTGGGCAAATAAGGGGCAAATCCATCTTTCAGGTATCCTGGTCCCAAACCATATAGTGCTTTCAACAGCAAAACCAGCACCTTGAACTTAAGGGTTTCCCACACCTCCATTTGCCCCATTGCTTCCTCTTGGAGAAACCCAATCTTTAGTGCTGAATCAGAACAAAGAGCAATCGAGTTTCTTATACAAGGCTGTTTGTTTTGATTTATCACTAAAGAGTGGGTTTTCTGGGGGAAAGTAGCAGGATCAAGGCAAAACCCTGGGTCCGGCTATTAACCAGAAGGTTGGTGGTTCAAGTCCACCCAGGGATAGCTGTGGGCAGGTTTCCAGCAATGCAGGGGGTGGACCAGGTGATCCTTGTCATGTGACAAAGACACATGAGAGCAGAAGCAGCAAAGCAGGCTGGGAAGTGCCGGGACTGCACAGTCATTTGGGCCTACTAAAGTTATTCAGACCTAACTGCTAAGTGTTGAGTCACTCTGACATGTGACTTAGCAGCCATTTTCTCTGTGTGTTCTCTGTAAGATTTCAGTCAGCGTCTGTCTGCCTCAGAAGTGAGCAGTATGTAATCTCAGTCAAACTGTTTGAAACCATGTTGTTTATGAAGAAGTTTATTTTAACTCAGTAAAGCTCTTTAAGACTCTGCATTATTAATTTAACCTGCGCGTCAATCCTTTGGGTCCCTTCCCAGTTACAATTCTGTGGGACAATCAGAAGTGTTGATGAGCCCTTAGCCTGGCACTCAGTGCAATTCTTTCAGCAATGGGCAATTCTTTCAGCAAAAGCCTGCCCTACTGAGCAGCTGCCATATTTTACACCAACTGCCGCTTCCGGATCAGTCTTAAAGGCATCCCCACATACAGAGAACTGCAGCAATCCAGTCTGGAAGTTACCAGTGCACAGATGGCTGTGGTCAAGCTTTTCTGTCCAGAAACAGCCACATCTGTCTTAATAAATAGAAGGGGAAGAAATGGAGGCAGTGGTTTTACTTTCTTGGGTTCCATGATCATCACAGATGGTGACAGCAGTCACGAAATTAAAAGACGCCTGCTTCTTGGGAGAAAAGCAATGATAAACCGAGACAGCATCTTAAAAAGCAGAGACATCACCTTGCCAACAAAGGTCTGTATAGTTAAAGCTGTGGTTTTCCCAGTAGTGATGTATGGAACTGAGAGCTGGACCATAAAGAAGGCTGATCACCGAAGAACTGATGCTTTTGAATTATGGTGCTGGAGGAGACTCTTGAGAGTCCCATGGACTGCAAGAAGATCAAACCTCTCCATTCTGAAGGAAATCAGCCCTGAGTGCTCACTGGAAGGAAGAAAAAGAAGAAGAGGAGGAGGAGGAGGAGGAGTTTGGATTTGATATCCCGCTTCATCACTACCCGAAGGAGTCTCAAAGCCGCTAACATTATCCTTTCCCTTCCTCCCCCACAGCAAACACAGAGTTGAGTGGGGCTGAGAGACTTGAAAGAAGTGTGACTAGCCCAAGGTCACCCAGCAGCTGCATGTGGAGGAGTGGAGACGCGAACCCGGTTCACCAGATTACGAGTCTACCGCTCTTAACCACTACACCACACTGGCTCAGATCCTGAAGCTGAGGCTCCAGTACTTTGGCCACCTCATGAGAAGAGAAGACTCCCTGGAAAAGACCCTGGTGTTGGGAAAGATTGAGGGCACAAGGAGAAGGGGACGACAGACGACGAGATGGTTGGACAGTGTTCTTGAAGCAACTAATATGAGTTTGACCAAACTGTGGGAGGCAGTGGAAGACAGGAGTGCCTGGTGTGCTCTGGAGTCGGACACGACTAAACAACTAAACAACAACAATGCTGAAGCACAGCAAAAAATGGAAAAGAAGGGAAGGCACACAAAATAAAGACTGTCCAGGGCACTACTTGCAGCTGCTGGGATCTTGTAGGTAAAGGGCTTGCCTACTGCCGCCTCCCCATCCTTCTACAGCCATATCATAACATGTGAAGGATGCAGTATCAAAGTAAAAAAGGCTGAATGGAACGTGAGAGCAAATATAATCTAATGGTATCAAGCAGCAGTTAATCTATTGGGATCTAATTCATTAGCACTAGTTCATGGATCTTTATAAGACTCTAGATCAGCCATGTCCAAAATCTGTTTTGGGGGCCTAATCCGGCCTGCCGGTCGGTTTAATCCGGCCCTTGTGACAGTTTAATTTTTCTGGGGTAAAATCCTAATAAACCCTCAACAACTTCAATCCTTAAAAAAGCTCAACAACTTTGGTTGGCGCTTTGGTCGGACCCCTCGTGGCCCTTCACTTCATCAAATCTGGCCCTCTTTGAAAAAAGTTTGGACATCACTGCTCTAGATCTCACTTAACTTAATCTCTTGATTCCCTTTTAGTTAATCCTTGCTGCTCAAATCCATGCCAAAACAGAGGAATCTGCATGACAACAGGATTTGACCATTATGAATGCGACTGTACGCAGACTGGTTATCATGGGGAACACTGCACTACACGTACGTATCCCAGAAAGTTACACTTGCACAATTAACATTTAGGAGAAAAGCCATAGTCCAGTGATGTAAAGAGCACATCATTTTGCACAGTGTTGGTTCAAGTTAAAAATGGGTATAAAAGGAATTCTGGGGCAAGTTTGGGGCAAGTACCAAGTGCTCTTTGGTGAGGGAACTCCTGTAGATATTTAAAATCACAAAATTTGTAGCAAAGTAAGCATGGAAATATAGGCTATTGGACCTTTAAAATGTGCCCTTTCAAGTTCCTTCAAAAGTTCCACTTTTCCTGCAGCATAGGAAAAAACTACACGTTTTTTGGTAAGTTAAAAATGGTTTACTTACAAACTCTCCAAATGGTCAGATTCATGAGCTTCAGAAAATTGCACAGGCAATAAAACTTGGCTTAATTACAAAGTGATGAAGGTTCCTAAATTACTGTAGTGGTCTGGTACCCTCAAACTTTGCAATAGTTAACCAGTTGAACTAATTGGTATAGGAACTCAATAGTGGTTTCTGTGAGCCTTGTGGTTTGAACAGGAGCAGCCAGCTCAGACATCCCTACACGCTGAACTTCTCAAATAGACAGAGGGTGAACAAAGGCTTGGTTACCTAGTTCCTCCCAAAGTGAGAGGAAGTGGACATATTTAAGGCCAGCAGGACAGCTTGCTCTATGGTATTAACCCCTCCATGCATTAATTAGACTTAAGCATGTTAGTTATATGAGGCTGGGTATCCCACAAATAGCTGGTTCCAGGTTCAATTTCTGGTGGCACCAGGTAAGGTAGGGAAAGACTCCTGTTTGAAGCCATGGAGAAAGGCCACTAGTCAGTGAAGTTATTACTGATTTAGATAATCAGTAATAGCAATAATCAGAGTTTCCCAGACTTGGATCTCCAGTTGTTTTTGGACTACATTTCCCATCAATCCTGACCACTGGTCCTGCTGCCTAGGGCTGATGAGAGTTGCAGTCCAAAAACAGCTGGAGATACCTTAGTTTAAGGTAGCGTCAAAGGTTTCAAACAAAGGGTTGCCATATTTCAAACCAGGACACCCTGAAAATTGTTGAGTTTTTTAAAGACAAATCCCAGAGTTGTTGCACTCCCCCCCCCCGCAAAAGCCCAAAAATCATCATTTTTTTTTTTATTTACTTGCCTAATATCCAGGACAAACCTCTACCTTTCACAGATTCTCCCTGGGCATATGGCAGTCCAGTTTTCTTCAGTACTTATTTGCATTTTTTTCAATAATGTTTTTCCTAATTTTCATTGCACTTCATTCCTTGCAGCCGAATTCTTTACTTGGCTGAGAGCGATGCTGAAACCTGCTCCAGCCACAGTCTACTATCTGCTCACTCACTTCAAAGCAGTCTGGGATGTAATCAACAACACCCCTTTCCTCCGCAACACCATCATGAGATTCATATTGATGTGTAAGTAACCCTACCTTTCAATGCTGTTCTTACAGAATAGTCCTATACGCATCTGCTCAGAAGTAAGTCTCACCGAGTTCAATGGAGCTTGCTACCAGGTCAATGAGTATTGGATTAGAGGCTTAATAGTGGGGACAGGTATTTACCTATACATGTCTACTCCTTGAGAAGTAAATCTCACTGAGTTCCACGGGCCTTATTCCTCGGTGAACGAATATAGGCTTGGAACAGGAGGTCAGCTATATATATCTGAGCTCTTTGAGGTACCATATGTTGACTACAATAGTTGTCATTTCTATACGTATTGACCTAATGCAGTAACTGAATTCTACCCTCTAAGCTTTCTAATAAATGGCATTATGGAAAGCAATAGCTGAGTCAAGAGTCTTCCTTTTCATACCTTAGGTGCAATTTGCTTCTTGTGGAAGATGACAGCAAAAGTGAAAACTCCTCTTGAGAAGTTTTTGTACAACACACATTTAAAATGAGCTTTGTGGTCTGTATAGCTGTCTGTACTTCTGTGAGGGAAGTTGGGGATCTTTCTCAAAGGGTTTTGAGCACCCTCATCTGATTACAAATTTCAGGATTCTCCACGGGGTTTGACAGTGGTATGTCCTCCCACTTTCCTCAGTGGGCAGTATCACGGCCAGGCCACACAAGTGATCCAGCAAATGACAGGCCCGATCACCTGGCTGCCGGCTATTGGCCAATGCCAGCAGACCTTGGATGGACATTCCCCTGGCGGTGGGCCCACCTGACCAATGGGGACAGTTGGGCCCACTCCCAGGGGTGGTTTAATTGTGGCCTGCCCAGCAGACTCCTCTGCCTTGACAAGAGGTTTTTAGTGTCATAATTTTTTAGAGTTGCTATGGCCCCAAAGATGCAAAAATGCAAAAAGTATAAAATTGAGAATGGGCTTATCCTCTCACATCACTTCTGAAATTTTCCTTGCCATGGTCAGATCATTAATTGGTGAGGTTTAGATCAGGCATAGGCAAATTCCGACCCTCCAGATGTTTGGGACTTCAATTCCCATCATCCCTGACCACTGGCCCTCTTAGCAAGGGATGATGGGAATTGTAGTCCTAAACATCTGGAGGGCCAGAGTTTGCCTATGCCTGGTTTAGATCCTCTGTGAAAGCAGACTGTATATGAGTTATCACTTCTTAGGTCACACAGTCATTAACTGCTTGCCCTGAACATAATTTCTTTTATTCATCCCTTGGCCATCTAGCAAGGTCCAATTTAATAGAAAGCCCACCAACGTATAACAGCCGTTATGGTTACAAAAGCTGGGAAGCCTATTCAAACCTTTCTTACTATACCAGAGCACTTCCGCCGGTAGAACGCAGCTGCCCAACCCCTATGGGTGTGAAAGGTAAGAAGGGGCAAAAATCTGAATATGTGAAGATAAGAGAAGATGAAATATTATTCCTCCTCTATGTACACAAGGCCAGTGGGGGCAACCCTGGTCTCCCCCCTCAATGCAGTGGTCAATCATGTCCAGGGAATACCTCAGAAGGGCTGAAACATTAGAAAATGTTTCAGAAGGAGAACCATAAGATGTAGAGCATTTGCTACATCATAAATCTTCACATTGAAAGGTTTTGTCTTACTTTGTCAAATAAGAAGAGGGTAGGCTTTTAGTGGATGCTAGCAAGTGATGCATTTGGGCACGTAAAGGTAAAGGGACCCTTGACCATTAGGTCCAGTCGTGACCGACTCTGGGGTTGCACGCTCATCTCGCTTTATTGGCCGAGGGAGCCGGTGTACAGCTTCCGGGTCATGTGGCCAGCATGACTAAGCCGCTTCTGGCGAACCAGAGCAGCGCACAGAAACGCCGTTTACCTTCCCGCCAGAGCGGTACCTATTTATCTACTTGCACTTTGACGTGCTTTCGAACTGCTAGGTGGGCAGGAGCAGGGACCGAGCAATGGGAGCTCACCCCGCCGCAGGGATTCGAACCGCCGACCTTCTGATCGGCAAGTCTTAGGCTCTGTAGTTTAACCCACAGCGCCACCCGCATCCCAATTTGGGCATATACTGGCAACCAAACTAATAACAAACTGGTTTAAACCAGAACTATATTCAGCGTACTACTTTAGAATTAGACTAGTTCCAAAACACAAAGAAGCTATCAACATTGTACATTTAGAGTTTAACATACTGTACATTTGGAGTTTTGCATATTTACATTTTCCCTGTCAAATTCCTGTAGGAAGGACCACTCCCCACATCAAATGGGGGGGCGCCTTTCGGTAGTATGGCTGGTTTCACCCTCCCCAGGCTGGATACCTGGAGGTCTCCGCCTACCTCAGCCAATCGCCCAATCCCACCTGGGGAGGCGTTGCCAAGAGATCGGCCAGGTAGGGGGAGGGACCGCCCTGCCCACACAACAGAAGGTGAATCTTACCTGTAGGGAAAAGGAAACTGCAGCAGCTATTCTGTTTCTAGCACTTACAAGTCTCAGAAAAATAAATGATTATTTTACATCCTAGGCAAGAAGGAACTTCCAGAGTCTAAACTCGTTGTGGAGAAAGTTCTACTTAGGAGAAAATTTATTCCCAGCCCTCAAGGCACAAATATCATGTTTGCGTTCTTCGCTCAACACTTCAGCCACCAATACCTCCGTACAGAAAATGACAAAGGACCAGCCTTCACAAAGGCCTTTGGGCATGGGGTAAGCTGGAAGAGTCACGACTTTGACTGGTTAGCTATTACAAAGTAGAACTGTTATGCATTTGAGGGTGTTGGACAAATACAATCTCTAGACCTTATAAATGTTAGAATTAAACTAAGGCTTGGAGGTGCCAAGCTATGTGCTACACACTTTTCTTTCTTTTTCATAATTTTTATTAAATTTCCTGTTTTACATTTTTCACTTAAAAGGTAAAGGTACCCCTGCCCGTACGGGCCAGTCTTGACAGACTCTGGGGTTGTGCGCCCATCTCACTCAAGAGGCCGGGGGCCAGCGCTGTCCGGAGACACTTCCGGGTCACGTGGCCAGCATGACATCGCTGCTCTGGCGAGCCAGCGCAGCACACGGAAACGCCGTTTACCTTCCCGCTAGTAAGCGGTCCCTATTTATCTACTTGCACCTGGGGGTGCTTTCGAACTGCTAGGTTGGCAGGTGCTGGGACCGAGCAACGGGAGCGCACCCCGCAGCAGGGATTCGAACCGCCAACCTTTCGATCGGCAAGCCCTAGGCGCTGAGGCTTTTACCCACAGCGCCACCCGCGTCCCAATATATATTCCCCCCCCACACTTAATCAACCTTAAAATATCATTGACTTCCCTTCTCTTCCCATGGTTCCTTTTGCATAATGCACACTCATACTTGATAATGTGGGTGCCCTTTGTGGAATCGCGCGCGGTGCTACGGTTTCCAGGGAGCTTACTGGCAAACAGGGGCTGGCCTGCCTCTCAGTGTTAATTTTTGGAGGTTCACGCCCAGCCTCAGTTATCAAGTTTCTTGCTGGGATGTGGGGCCATCCCCATTTATAAATAGGGGGTGGAGCCGACAATAGCCAGGCAGTCGGCTCTGGAGATTCACCCTCCCTCCCCTCCCTCTGTTTAATGTTTTCTTGTTTACAGGTTAACTTTTTCTTCCTGTTTAGCGGGCGCTGCAACGGTCTTTGACTGCTTGTTGTTGAAGGACGGGGAAGAAATTTTCCTGCATTTTGTCTTTCCCAAAGCTGTTCGTCACAACTTTGGTGGTTATGGCCTTGGGTGGAATCCTTTAGTCTTTTCTTTCCTATGGGGTGTGTGTGTGAAGGGGTCACTCACCCCCCTGCAGTGATGATTCCAGGGTCCCCCTCTGAATGGGGTTTTATAAATGGGTTTCACTGGCCATACACTGAAAGGTTGTCAGTGAACTACCCTGCATGCGGGGATATGGGCTGGGCTGCCTGCTACACTTACATCTCACAGAGCACCCCCATATCCCATTTACCCTGATGAGCCCCAGTTCCCGCCGGCTGGGGGGCTGGGAGGGATACACGCCCAAGGCCTAAGCCAAGGTCTTCCTACATTGGAAGTTTAATAAAGTTGTGGCCTAATTTTTAATTCCAGAGTCTTTATTCCTTTCTTATGATCCCTAGGGACTGGGGCTGTCGTGCCTGGTCACGCAACATAAATCCCTACATATTTTATATAAACTACACCATTCAGTATCCCATTATTACATCCATCAAAGCTTATTTACACTGTTGAATTTATCTTAATGCTGCCCACATTTCCAAATATACACAATTTCCTCCATATATTCAATAAACATTTTCCAATCTTCTCTAAACCTATGCTCTTCTTGTTGTCTTACTCTGTGTTAGGTCCGCAAGCTGCACACATTCCATCAGTTCAAGTTGCCCTTCTTTTTTAGTTGGGACCTCGCTTGTTTTTCCATTTTGGTGCTAACAAAACACAGGGCTCAGTAAATAACCTTTTATGACACCTGGGAATTTCAGGCTGAATTATCCCCAACAAAGAGGACTCTGGTTTTTTTTGGAAAAGTACTTTTAAGCATTTCTTTCAATTCATTATGAATTATTTCCCAATACTCTTTTACGCTTTTACAGGTCCACCACATATGCTAGAACGTACCCTCAGCCTCATTGCATCTCCATGTGCTAGACACTTTTAATCCCCTGGAATCAGCAAGTGTTAAAAGATAATTGTATTTTAGTGTTCTGTTGGAAGCCGCCCAGAGTGGCTGGGGAAACCCAGCCAGATGGGCAGGGTATAAATTTTTATTATTATTATTATTATTATTATTATTATTATTATTATTATTATTATTATTATTATTATTATGCCAGGCTAGCCTCCTGGGTCGAGGTAAAAGCCTGGGTGATGTGCCATTAAGAAAAGAAGGATCAAAGTGTAGGTTAGAATGGTGAGAGTTAGGAATTGTGTGACCAAGACACAAAACAGAAGGCAAAGCATGATGTCTGACATCTGTCTAAACTTAAAGCTATGGCTATGAGAGAAGCAAGACTCTTTTGGGGTGTTAATCCTGTGAGACCCTCCATCATAGGCTCAGGTTGTATATATTTGTAAATAAGCCTTATATCATAAAGATGCCACAGTTTCTTCTCTGCCTCATTTCCAAAAGAAAATATGGACCCTGGAATCTTGTACCGCTGGAGACTGGGGTGACGTGCAACACAATTTCCATAGTTCCTTCAGAAAGCAGGAGCCCTTCTTAACAACCGCGATTACAACCCTGTGTTGTGTATCAGATAAAAACCAGTTTTATATGCCAGGGCTCATTCTATATTTAACCCAGATACAGGCATGCAATAGCAAAACAATTTTTCTATAAATTAAGAATATTCAAATCATGACGTATTTTGAGGACTGACCAAACTCTCTCCTCCATTGTACCCTCACTGCAGCATATATTGTTCTGAAACTTTTAGAGGGAGGTGAAGGCAGCCCTGTTTAGGGAAACTTTTAATGTTTGATGTATTACAGTATTTTAATATTTTTTTGGAAGCCGCCCAGAGTGGCTGGGGAAGCCCAGCCAGATGGGTGGGGTATAAATAATAAATTATTATTATTATTATGACTAATTTTACTGGGCGTTTATGAAGTGTTCAACTTTCTTTGGGCGACAACTAGTATATTTAAGTAATATTCTGTCTGTGTATATATATATATATATATATATATATATATATATATATAATTTTCTTATAAACAGCTTTTCCATCGATACAATAACCAACTTAAAAATCCTTTTTGCTCTGCCAAGCTTATTCTGTCTATTTTTTAAGGGCTTCACCCTGAATCTATTTGTTTCTCTGTCTCATCTGTCAAATTAAAAATCGGACGTTCATGTTCCTATCATTTCAACAGGTCGATCTAAATCATATCTATGGAGAGAATTTGGATAGGCAGCTGAAACTCAGACTCTTTAAGGATGGGAAGCTGAAATTTCAGGTTGGTTTGGACTTTTTCTGAAAACGCTGCAGTGTGTTGAGAAAAAGAAAGATTGTATTTATGTTAAAGTATTTACTCGGGACGCGGGTGGCGCTGTGGGTAAAACCACAGCGCCTAGGACTTGCCGATCGCATGGTCGGCGGTTCGAATCCCCGCGGCGGGGTGCGCTCCCATTGTTCGGTCCCAGCGCCTGCCAACCTAGCAGTTCGAAAGCACCCCCGGGTGCAAGTAGATAAATAGGGACCGCTTACCAGCGGGAAGGTAAACGGCGTTCCGTGTGCTGCGCTGGCTCGCCAGATGCAGCTTGTCACGCTGGCCACGTGACCCAGAAGTGTCTGCGGACAGCGCTGGCTCCCGGCCTATAGAGTGAGATGAGCGCACAACCCTAGAGTCTGGCAAGACTGGCCCGTACAGGCAGGGGTACCTTTACCTTTTACCTATTTACTTGGAAGAGTGGTGTGCTCCCTCTGATGCAGAGAAGCCCGACAGACATTTTAGTAACTGCACCAGCAACCATTTCCCCCCTAGATAACTATTTAAGGAGTATAGACTATCACAATGCCACAATCTCACAAAAATCTCTGTACTTGAAATCCACTGGAAATTGACAAGTATAGTGGCACCTCGGGTTAGAGACGCTTCAGGTTACAGACTCCGCTAACCCAAAAATAGTACCTCAGGTTAAGAACTTTGTTTCAGGATGAGAACAGAAATTGTGCGGCGGCAGGAGGCCCCATTAGCTAAAATGGTACCTCAGGTTAAGAACAGTTTCAGGTTAAGAAACGGACCTCCAGAACAAATTAAGTTCTTAACCCGAGGTACCATATAAGCATATTATATTTTCACTGGATTTTAGTATTCTTGGCTGAAATTCAGTATGATAGAAGATTCTATATGCTGCCATGCTCATTTATTTGTTTTTTTTAATTACAGATGATCGATGGAGAGATGTACCCACCTACGGTCAAAGAAACTCAGGCAGAAATGATCTACCCACCACATGTTCCTGAGCACCTGAAATTTTCTGTAGGGCAAGAGGTCTTTGGTTTGGTTCCAGGGCTGATGATGTACGCCACGTTATGGCTCCGGGAACACAACCGGGTCTGTGATATTCTGAAGGGCGAGCATCCGGAATGGGATGATGAGCAGCTGTTCCAAACTGCCCGGCTGATCTTAACAGGTAATTCTTACAACTGCTCATGGTTAGCACACAATTACTCGATGGAATTTTGCTGCTGCTAGATGTGGCGATGGCCATCATCTAAGATGTCTTTAAAATGGCCGAGACAATTTCGTGGGAGATAGCTCTATCACCGTTTGTTGACTATTGTTGATTCTGAGCATCTCAGGGACATTTTGTGGGCCGTCGTTGGAAATGTAGTGCCAGACAAGATGGACACTTGGATTGATCCAAGAGGACTGTTTTTCCATTATTTAATGTTGCTGTGACTTTTAACTGGGAGCATGGCATTTCATAGCAAACTTTCTGTTTGCCTGCTGGATTTTGGTTGGCCTGCTGCAGATTTGGTTAGGGACTTAACATTGCTCTGGAAACAAAACTAAAAGATTTGACTTTATTGTGGGACAACAGGAGCGACCATCAAGATTGTGATTGAAGACTATAGCCTGAAAGTGAGATGAGTGCCGCACCCCATAATTGCCTTTTTCTGGACTTAACCACCCAGGGGTCCTTTACCCTTTTATTGTTTAGGAAATGAAAAGACTGGCTGACTTTTGTTTTCTGTGGGGAAACAGGAGAGACCATCAAGATTGTGATTGAAGACTACGTGCAGCACCTGAGTGGCTACCACTTCAAGCTGAAGTTTGACCCAGAGCTGCTCTTCAACCAGAGATTCCAGTATCAGAACAGAATAGCGGCAGAATTCAACACCCTTTACCACTGGCACCCTCTCCTCCCTGATACCTTCCAGATTCATGACCAAGAGTACACATACCAGCAGTTTATCCATAACAACTCCATCATGTTAGAACATGGTCTTTCCCATATGGTGGAATCCTTCTCCAAGCAAAGGGCTGGAAGGGTAAGAATATATTTCCTGCTAAGAAATTGCATAGCCTTCATCTTGAGGCAACATGATACAACTGTCCTCCTGTCATGTAAGTCACCCTTGTGTCTGAAAAGCCTTTAAACGCAGAATGATTATCAATGGGGCCTTCTGAGATTTGGTGAACAGTTTTGCAGTATATGCAGCTTTCTCTGTGGCAGCAGCTTTTATTGCTCTCCTGTTGTTTCATTTTCTGACAGAAGGCTGAATAGCACAAGCAGTTTTACATTGTAAATCAGGAGATGACCGTTCAGTCTTTTACACTTGAAGTCTGGTTGATTTCAAAGGGGCCAGAAGTTCTTATGACCTACTATTCCATTTGATCAGTTTATAATGCAATAAATGCACAATAGACATGATTAGTTAGGGTCGTTTCTCTACATATACTTGTAGAAAAGTAGCTTTTATCACTGAAGTGGCAAACCTGTTCACTATTCTGCTTGAAGGAACTTGCATGATGGAATGTTCCTCAGATTTCTCTTTTAAAAAATGTTCCTCTGTATACAAAACTAGAAGTTGTGGAGAAGAATTCAAGTCTAGTATTTTCCCTGGGTTTTTGTTTTTCTGTGTGAGAACTGGACTCTGAGTTTAGTCTCAGTGAGAACATACAGCTCTGTCTGAAGTAACCAAGTTTAATGCAGTCTTCTTTGTTTTCTCTACTTCTCCATTCTACCCAAAGGAAGGCCAACTCCAAAAGCTCACATTCCTATTTATGGAACCATGGTGGCAAGGCTTGTAGGTATTATGCAACGCCATGCAATACTTGTGCCAACATATGCAGCATTTAAGCTCCATTTGTTACTCACAAAAGGGACGTGGGTGGCGCTGTGGGTTAAACCACAGAGCCTAGGACTTGCCAATCAGAAGGTTGACAGTTCGAATCCCCATGACGGGGTGAGCTCCTGTTGCTCAGTCCCTGCTCCTGCCAACCTAGCAGTTCGAAAGCAGATCAAAGTGCAAGTAGATAAATAGGTACCGCTCCAGCGGGAAGGTAAACGGCGTTTCCGTGCGCTGCTCTGGTTCGCCAGAAGCGGCTTAGTCATGCTGGCCACATGACCCGGAAGCTGTATGCCGGCTCCCTCGGCCAATAAAGCGAGATGAGCGTCGCAAACCCAGAGTCGGTCACGACTGGACCTAATGGTCAGGGGTCCCTTTACCTTTACCTTTTTGGTACTCACATTACTCCATTTCTTTGATAACAGGTAGCTGGTGGGCGGAATGTCCCTGCTGCAATGCAGAAAGTAGCTAAGGCCTCCATTGATCAAAGCAGGCAGATGAGATACCGCTCCATGAATGAGTATCGGAAGCACTTTATCCTGAAACCCTTTCAGTCATTTGAAGAGCTCACAGGTAAGACTTGTCCTCTACTTAGAGAAAAACAGGAGCTGCTCTTTATGGGCAAGGCTGCGCAGCTTAGAGATCAAACCGCTGCTTTGTATGGGGATGTTTTGGGTCCAATTATTGGCATCTCCAATTAAGGGAAAGCAATTAGCAGGTCCAGGATTGTGTAGGCAGCTAAAGGCTGGTGGTTCCAATGGGTTGGGTTGTTGTTTAGTCATTTAGTCATGTCCACCTCTTCGTGACCCCATGGACCAGAGCATGCCAGGCACTCCTGTCTTCCACTGCCTCCCGCAGTTTGGTCAAACTCATGCTGGTAGCTTCAAGAACACTGTCCAACCATCTCGTCCTCTGTCATCCCCTTCTCCTTGTGCCCTCCATCTTTCCCAACATCAGGGTCTTTTCCAGGGAGTCTTCTCTTCTCATGAGGTGGCCAAAGTATTGGAGCCTCAGCTTCACGATCTGTCCTTTCAGTGAGCACTCAGGACTGATTTCCTTCAGAATGGAGAGGTTTGATCTCCTTGCAGTCCATGGGACTCTCAAGAGTCTCCTTCAGCACCATAATTCAAAAGCTTCAATTCTTCGGTGATTAGCCTTCTTTATGGTCCAGCTCTCACTTCCATACGTCACTACTGGGAAAACCATAGCTTTAACTATATGGACCTTTGTTGGCAAGATGATGTCTCTGCTTAAGTGTTCAAATCCAAATCCAAGATTCAAGCAATATACCCAATAAATGAATTTTTCAGTGTGTCGAGAACGCTACCAGACTTTTGGAAGACTTTTAGAAGGCAGCCCTGTTTAGAGAAGCTTTTAATGTTTGATGGACTACTGTATTTTAATATTTTGTTGGAAGCCACCCAGAGTGGCTGGGGAAACCCAGCCAGATGGGCAGCGTATAAATAATAAGTTATTATTAGTCCTTTCACGTGGACTATCATTCTGTCCTACCAAATCCCCACACATGATTCAGTTCTGCGGGGACTTGGAAGCATTTTTCCGCCATTTATGCCTGAAGGAGTACTTTCAATACACACAAGAACAAGGCAAAGTAGAACAAACAACATCTTCACAACACAACATCTCTCAACCTACTGGGGAACAACCACCACGCTCCCAACACATTAATGAACAGAACATTGACCACCAACTACCACTTAAAAAGAGTTACACCAAAAGGGACTCCACATGGACCCCTCCTGATGGATGTAATACCACACTAGATCTGTACATCAATTTCCTCTGCCACAGAATCCAAACAGATGTGACCAGAAAACACCATCGCTTACAACCAGGTTTACCACGCCTATCAGCCAATCACCCATTCCCATCACCCTTCTGAGTAATACCCCTCCCCACCCTCTCACTATATATAAGGGTCTGGTGATTTCTGTTTCAGTGTATCTGAAGAAGTCTGCATGCACATGAAAGCTCATACCAATAACAAACTTAGTTGGTCTCTAAGGTGCTACTGGAAGGAATTTTTTAAAAAAATATTATTATTATTATTAGTTTTTTAAAAGTGTTGAGTTCCTGTAGAAAAGCTCTGTTGTCTTTTATTGGAGATTGGGTAGTTGCAGCCCCTCTACTGAGAACATGTACTGTCTTTTCAAGCTGTAAGGTAAAAGGTAAAGGGACCCCTGACCATTAGGTCCAGTCGTGGGCGACTCTGGGGTTGCGGCGCTCATCTCACTTTATTGGCCGAGGGGGCCGGTGTACAGCTTCCGGGTCATGTGGCCAGCATGACTAAGCCGCTTCTGGCGAACCAGAGCAGCACACGGAAACGCCGTTTACCTTCCCGCCAGAGCGGTACCTATTTATCTACTTGCACTTTGACGTGCTTTCAAACTGCTAGGTTGGCAGGAGCAGGGACCGAGCAACGGGAACTCACCCCGTCTCGGGGATTCGAACCGCCGACCTTCTGATCGGCAAGTCCGAGGCTCTGTAGTTTAACCCACAGCACCACCCACGTCCCTCAAGCTGTAAGGAGAGATGCTCAAAAGAGAAACTGCATGTTCTAAGGATGGAAAGGAAGAAAGCAGAGGTTGTGGGGAGTCCTTCTAGGAGATAGTTTTCCATAAGACTATTCTGTGTCAACCACAACTTTCCTTGCAAAGATTTGTAATATGATTCATTCATTCTTCTGTCGCTGCATTGACTTTCTCCCTGTTGATGCAAAATTTATTCAGGATTGCAGAGCTTGACTTCCCCACCATACTATTTCTATTTCATGGCAGCTTTTGCAACACTAATGAGTCAGGGTCTCTCCCTGTCCTCCTTTGTAAGGCAACTTCCTTTCTTATTCTCAGAACCTCAGAGAAGAACCCGCTAATGATTTACAATCATATACAAAACCATCCCCCCAACTGTTGGAGATTCCCTGCTTAACCATGATTTTTGCCTCTTGTTATCACAGGAGAAAAAGAAATGGCTGCAGAACTTGAAGAACTCTATGGGGATATTGATGCTATGGAGTTCTACCCAGCCCTTCTTGTAGAAAAACCATACCCTGGAGGTATATTTGGTGAGACCATGATAGAAATTGGGGCACCGTTCTCTTTGAAAGGTCTCTTTGGAAACGCTATTTGCTCACCAGAGTACTGGAAGCCCAGCACCTTTGGGGGCAAAGTTGGCTTTGACATAGTGAACACAGCCTCCATCCAAAACCTTATCTGCAACAATGTAGAGGGCTGTCCTCTCATGGCTTTCCATGTCATAAACCCAGCAACAGCAGCAACGAATAACGTCAGCACCTCCAGCACAGCAAGAGACGAAACTGGCCCACCATTACGATCAAAAGAACAGTTTGCTGAGCTATAGGGAACAGTGTTTTGCATATTTATTTATTTACGGTATATCATTGCTGCTGCTGCTGCTGCTGCTGCTAACAAAAACCACTTTAAAGGCATGTTCTGCTTAGATCTGCAGGACCGAACCTTTCGGTTTTTAAGAATATCTACTGTACTAGAAAGATGTATTCCAAAATGGATCAGGGCATGGGATATGCTGCTTAAACTTGCACAGAAATGATAACTCTGCCTCTTAAACTTGACAAGAAGGACCCTAAATATGGAACCATTTTAGGTGTCTAGAAGTGATATTTTATGATCCTGTTATTAAAGCATGCTAAAACCATTCCTTATTAGCTATGCAGTTTGAAATGAGATCTAACAGCCAAATGGCCGCTTTCTAAACCCATAAATTGCCTTCAGCTGTTGCAAGTGGTGAGGGGCTTATGCTTCCTCTTTTCAGTTGTGAGAAGTGGAGTTCCAGATCCCATCTAGGCCTCACAAATGTGATTTGAGATATAGAATAGCACTGTATGTTCCAGAGCTTCTTTATAACACAGCCGCTTATATCTGGTCATTTCAACTTTTGGTTACTGACACTTTTCAAGTTGGCTGATAAACACTTACGAAAATGAACTATAAACATAATTCGTAAAAAATAAATCAGAAAATAAACCAAATATGCACTCTGATTAATAGCTTGGTTATTGTCAGTTTTGCAAATTCAAGGCCCTTGAATCAGACCATTATTTCTCTAATCGACTGGTAACTTGAGAAATGCAACCTTATTCTTGTATTGTAGGTATTAAAATTTTCATGTTGCTTAAGAAATGCATGTTTAATAGTATGGCTCTGAAGCCCATACATTACTGGCCCTCTTGGTTGAAAAACCCTCTGTTATTTGTACTCTGGCAATTGATATAATGATTATCTGTTAAACCAAAATGATAATGGAGAAAATATTGCTGGAAAAGGAAATATTGGTGTAACCCAAGGAAATATGGACAAAAGTCACCAGGAAACTCTTGAGAGAGCTCTATGAGGTCTGCCTTTTGGGCTTTTGTAGCACTCAATGGAGGTTGCTCAGGAGAACGTCTGGTGGATTGTGCCCACAGACTATAGGGGTAATTGTCCTCTTTGTTTTGAGAACTCTCTATTCCATTTCTCTTGGTTCTTTTGATTAGTTCATACCTAGAAGTTTCTTCATCTCTTTCTGGTGCCCCACTTCTCCCTTTTAAGTTCTCTTCCCCTTTGATACCAGGATACCAGAGCCCTGTCACATCCTGGACAATGGACTTCTTCTGTATTACCAGAGTAATTTTTAAAATGTTTACAAAATTAACAGGGAAAAAATACATTATTTGCATGAAATAAGTTGGAAAGGTCATGAATGCTTTTGAGTCACAGCTACCTTAAAGTCTTGGATACCCGAATGGTTTTGTATGGCACAGCAATCATTTTCCTCCACAAGGCAAGACCAGCATAAAAATAAAAAATCCTTCTCTAGAGACTAGAAAATTGGTTTTTCATTCTAGCCTTTCTTTGTCTAACTGGATCTGCTTTCTTAATATCAAACGTTGTTATGACTTTATCCATTGGCTAGAAACACTGTGGTTCCTCAGGTGGTTCCTCACAAAGTTGAGCAGACTAGGGCCCCGTTTGTGTTCTGTCTGCCTCATATTTTAGGATCTATAAATGCCATAAATTTAGTTTTGAAAAAAAGATGATGACGAAAACTGGGAATCTGGGTACTGTAACTCATCTGAGGAGGCAATCACCCGCTTTCTACAGACATTCATGTTCCTGCATCTGGGCCAATTCCTATCATAGCTGCAGTCGCAACTCTCTAGTGGGGTTGCTACCCTGTAGCATGTAGCAATGGTCCAGTCTTGCAAAACTTAGAGGTTTCTACACGTACACATATCTCCTTTCTCCATCCAGGCAAAGAAGAGACTTTATTACAGTTCCATGACACCTTCCAGCCAAGCAAAAAAACACTCAAGAGAGGCATGAGATACTAGAAGAGCCTTCTGGATATAAGTCCAACGGTCCATTACCCCAGCATCTTCTTCTCACAGTGTGTCTGGAGGTCTTGGGTTGCCCAGACAACAAGACCCCCCTCTTGGCCTCGCTGATATGGTCCAAAGGAAAGTAGAGCAATATGTTTGCCACCAGCTTGGCTGCAGGAGTTGCTGGAAGGAGGCATTGTTGTTTAGTCATTTAGTCATGTCCGACTCTTCGTGACCCCATGGACCAGAGCATGCCAGGCACTCCTGTCTTCCACTGCCTCCCACAGTTTGGTCAAACTCAGGCTGGTAGCTTCGAGAACACTGTCCTACCATCTCGTCCTCTGTCGTCCCCTTCTCCTTGGGCCCTCCATCTTTCCCAACATCAGGGTCTTTTCCAGGGAGTCTTCTCATGAGGTGGCCAAAGTATTGGAGTCTCAGCTTCAGGATCTGTCCTTCCAGTGATCTTAGGGACGCCACTCTGGATTTCTGTAGGGTTTGCTCCTTAGCCTTTTCTAAGAGCGGTACAGTGGTACCTCGCAAGACAAATGCCTCGCAAGATGGAAAACTCGCAAGACGAAAGGGTTTTGGGTTTTTTTAGTTGCTTCGCAAGACGATTTTCCCTATGGGCTTGCTTCGCAAGACGGAAACGTCTTGCAAGTTTGTTTCCTTTTTCTTAAAACCGTTAATACAATTGCGACTTGACTTCGAGGAGCAACTCATAGCACGCCGTGTGGTAGCCTTTTTTGAGGTTTTTGAAGACTTTGGTGATTTTTGAAGCTTTTCCAAAACTTTTCCGAAACCGTAGAATCATAGAATCATAGAATCATAGAGTTGGAAGAGACCACAAGGGCCATCGAGTCCAACCCCCTGCCAAGCAGGAAACACCATCAGAGCACTCCTGACATATGGTTGTCAAGCCTCTGCTTAAAGACCTCCAAAGAAGGAGACTCCACCACACTCCTTGGCAGCAAATTCCACTGTCGAACAGCTCTTACTGTCAGGAAGTTCTTCCTAATGTTTAGGTGGAATCTTCTTTCTTGTAGTTTGGATCCATTGCTCCGTGTCCGCTTCTCTGGAGCAGCAGAAAACAGCCTTTCTCCCTCCTCTGTGTGACATCCTTTTATATCCGTGCTTCGCAAGACGAAAAAATCGCAAGACGAAAAAACTCGCGGAACGAATTAATTTCGTCTTGCGAGGCACCACTGTAGTCTCGTAATCTGGGGAACCGGGTTCGCGTCTCCGCTCCTCCACATGCAGCTGCTGGGTGACCTTGGGCTAGTCACACTTCTCTGAAGTCTCTCAGCCCCACTCACCTCACAGAGTGTTTGTTGTGGGGGAGGAAGGGAAAGGAGAATGTTAGCCGCTTTGAGACTCCTTCGGGTAGTGATAAAGCGGGATATCAAATCCAAACTCTTCTCCTGAAGATATGCTACAAGGCAAAGGAGATTTTGGATCAGAGTTTTCCTTCTCCTAGAAGCCTTCCCAGGTTGACCAGCCCCACCTGCCCCTCGCTTCCCTCTCCAGAACATGCAGAAACCACCTTCTTGACCTGTCTGCAGTAACCCTATTAATGGGAATGGTCCTGGATACCTGAGGTTCCCCACTGCTGATCTAAATGGCCACCTGTGTGCTCCACCCCTATGACCTGGCTCAGCAGATGGTTGGCGTTCATTCAACTATCCATCCATTCTCCAGCCCACTCCCAAACCCACTTTCCCCCACCCATTTGGCTTTTATTGCCTGATGCCTCCCAGCTTCACACCAACAGAACCTCTGTTCATTTTCCTCTACATCTATGTGTGCATTAGTAGGAAGGTGACCAGAAACCTCACACTGAACGCATGATGAATGGATGCAGAACAGTGTGGGAGGTGACGATTGTGCATGCCTTGTTGATTCAGGAAGGTAAATTGCAAAAGGCACGCCATGTACCTTGCTTGATGTTTACTTCCCTCTTTTCACATGGGGTAATTTTTCCAGAAGATCGTTAAAATAAATGCTCTTCAACAACACAAAGACTTTCAGTTGTATTAGAAGGCGTGTCATGGGGAGCATTGTTGATATTTCTAAAACCTCCAATTAACACAACATATTTTTTAGAGCAGCAAGGCAGCATTGGGGAAACGAAAAACCCTGAACAGCTCAGTTGGTAGAGTATGGGACTTTTAATCTCAGGGTTGTGGGTTCGAGCCACACACTGGGTGAAAGATTACTATTGTTATATACTGAGTTGAATAGGATCCAAAATGCAGCAGTCTGATTGGTCCTAGAACAATAGGATTCAGAATACAGCAGTCTGATTGGTCCTAGAACAATAGGGTCCAGAATGCAGCAGTCTGATTGGTCCTAGAACAATGCAGCAGTATGATTGGTCCACAGGAGCCACTCAATTCAGCTCCAGGTGGAAGTGAATCCACAACCCGATTGGCCTACAGGAGAATCCCAGAATTAGCCAATCACGTGCAGCCCATTGTGTAAATAATGTAAATAAAGCAGATATTTTGGGGGAACTTTCATTCCTCACTACTATGAGCTGAATAAAGAGCATGAAATCCACACTCAACTCCTAGTATATTTCAACTGTATTGTGCAGTGTTTGACTAGATGACCCTCGCTGTCCCTTCCAACTCTATGATTCTTTGAAATCCCCCGCTGCAGAAAAAAAGAGAGATAACCCCTGCAATACCCTGTCCTAAAGAATGAGTATGGTCTACACAAGCCACAGTTGCTGGAATCATAACAATTCTCTGTAGCTATAACAGATGCTGCTTAAAAACTCAGATCTGGGTAACTGAGAAGGAGGCTTGGGGATGAGAGGGGTTCACTGACTTGCATTTCTGGTGCATCTCAGAATGATGAATGGAGATGCTATTGAAGGGACCCGCCTTCCCTTTGGGCATAGGCAGGCCTGGGATGATGCATTGGGGCAAGAATGTGCCCGTTGCATGCCCGAGAAACATATATTATGCACCAGTTATGATTACAACTCAGACGTTGTGTCAACATGAGGGTCAGGCCACGGTTTGATGAAATAAAACCTATTGCACTGCGAGAAAGTGATTTATCATGAAGCCAGAGGGTGATGTAGGACTTCAAAGCCAAACATTGGGAGCCAGACTGTAAACTTAAGTGCATAATTGTGCATTGCACCCCAACTTTCCCATTCAGTAAGAACTGTCATACTGGATCATATCTGATCTACTGACTCATGTAGCTCACCTGTCTCTCTTTTGGCCCGTGCAAGATGAATAATTGCAGATTTAGATTTTATCCCTGGGTACAGCAGTTAAAGTGAGGCTGGCTTTTACCATTATTCATGCGATCAGTTCTGTTTATTCCCCAACACGAGTTGCATCTGGCTGGGAATCGTGACAATGGGAGTCACGATTGCTTCTTTACTGTTCAATTCAGGGACTCCTAAAGGCCAAGCCAGAGTCAGGATATATTTGGTATGGAAGTTTTTGGAGAGATTGGCCATGGATGGATGGATGGACAGACAGACAGACACATACAGATCTGGCAGAAAGAAGCTTTAATCCTTCTCACTACCTCCATTTCCCCTTGAAGCTGTCGTTGTCTATTTTGCCATGCAGGGCACAGAGGGAAGGATGGAATTTTTGTGGAAGTGCAACAGCAGCAACCATTCAGTTTGCAATTTAAGAGTTAACCCTGTTAAAGACAGGCAACCAAGAGGGTTATTTGGGATCATTGCTTAGCAACCAGTGAGGAGGTATGGTCCTTGATGAGGTAACTTGTATGTGAAATAACATTTTGGGTGGTATTCAACGAAATGAATGTGCAGGCGGAATGACGTTGGCTTGTGCAACTGGACCTCTCTTCCCACCACACCCTGTGTCATCCTCAAAACTGCTGCAGAGCTTTGTAGTAAGCAGTGTCAGGTAGACATATTTTGAAGAATCTCTATGAGATCCTTTTAACTGGAAGCTGAATCGGGAACCTCCTCTGTGCACCCCACGAAGACGCTACAACTCCTCCTTATTTGAATAGAGGGAAATCACCATCCAGCCAAGCCCAGAGGTGTTTTCTCTTTGTTTTCCTTGTGAGTTCTCCTGGTAACCAGGTGTATACCTTTACTGTGGACATCAGGAGACAGGAATCATAGGTGTGCCTTCTTTGTTCAGACCTGTCCTGCTAGCTAATCATTTTTTAACACCCATTCATTTTCATTTTAGTGTGGGTTTCTTTTTTCACATTCCTTTGAGTGAATGCTCCACCCTTTCATCACCACTGCAGGGGAATCAGCGCTCCGAGCAGCGACTTGCGAAAGTGAAAGGTGACTTCAGCCTGATGCCTTACCTCTGAGCGATTTATGGAGCCCTCGTCTCGCCACAATTCCACACTGGATGGGACAGGCGGGCAGTGGCATTTGCTGTTCCACCTCAGGCTTTTCTCTTGCAGCCGACCAACATGCTTGCCCCTCTAAAGGCTAAATAAAGCCGTTGAAACGACATGCATTTTAACATTCCCAGGACAACAGTGTGTTTGCCCCTTAGGGAACAAGCATTTAAGTGAACAGCCATTGGGGAGGGGGACACAGTTAGAAGTGGTGGCCCCCCCTTCTCTGAATGCAGCTGTTCTTTTTAAGGTCGTCTTAAGCATATCCAGAATTAATCCAGAATGCGGCAGCTAGACTGGTGACTGGGAGTGGCCACTGGGTCCACATAACACCAGTCCTGAGAGATCTGCATTGGCTCCCAGTACATTTCCAAGCACAATTCAATGTGTTGGTGCTGACCTTTAAAGCCCTAAACAGCCTCGGTCCTGTATACCTGAAGGAGCATCTCTACCTCCATCATTCTGCCTGGACACTGAGGTCCAGCGCTGAGGGCCTTCTGGCAGTTCCCTCATTGCGAGAAGTGAGGTTATAGGGAACCAGACAGAGGGCCTTCTCGGTAGTGGCACCCACCCTGTGGAATGCCCTCCCACCAGATGTCAAAGAGAAAAATAACTACCAAACTTTGCGAGAAGTGAGGTTACAGGGAACCCGACAGAGGGCCTTCTCGGTAGTGGCACCCACCCTGTGGAATGCCCTCCCTTCAGATGTGAGCAGCTATCTTATCTTTAAAAGATATCTGAAGGCAGCCCTGTTTAGGGAAGTTTTTAATATTTAATGCTGTATTGTTTTTAAAGCCGGCCAGAGTGGCTGGGGAAACTCAGCCAGATGGGCGGGGTATAAATAATAAATTATTATTATATATATTATTATTATCCAGCGCTGTGGTGCAAAGCTCCCTCCACCACCCCCAGCACCCCCCTGTTTCCCAGATTTTTTTAGGGAGGATGGCACTGCTGATGGGGCTGGAGGAGGCGGGCAGCGGCTGGAGGGTGGCTCCTCTGGCAGGGAAGGGGCGGGGACTGGAGGCAGCGCCTCCTGGCCCAGCTGGCCGCTTTGTGCCGCGGTGGCCACGGCAGACAGAGCCTCCGGGCACCGCGCTGCTTCGGCACGGAATGGTGGAGGCGGCAAGGGCGGTGAGCTGGTGCTGGGAGGTGCTGCGTCCAGGCTCTGCCTATTCCCTGGCGCCCTCCAGAACATGGTGCCCTGGTGCCCTGCGCAACTAGCCTCTATGGGCAAGACGCTCCCGGGTCTTCCTTTGCTGGGATTGCATTGTGGATAGAGAATGAGACTCTTGATCTCAGGGTTGTGACTTCAAACCCCACTTTGGGCAAAAAAAAATTCCTGCATTGCAACTCTTCAATCCTACAGTTCTATGATTATTCCTGTTCTGAATGTGAAATGTGCTCCAGTTAATAAGAACCTAAGAATCGCCCTGCTGGTTCAGGTCAAAGGTCCATCTTTCTTTATTTTCTTTTGGGGCTTTTTTTTTAGTTTTTTATTTATACTTTTCAAATTTCAACATTTCATTTGTTTTACGGTCAATTTAATATTACAAAATTGGACTTACTTCCTTCTCCCTCTTTCTGCGGTTCCTAATTTATATATATATATCTCATCTGCATATCCAGGTTCATTTAACTTGCTCATTTAATTATCTACTGTAAATATATACTCTTATGAAACTGCAGGTTATTACAATAATCCTGCCAATGTTTTTATCTGTTTATAATTTATCTGTAAATATTCAATAAACCACTTCCATTCTTTTATTAAAAAAGTTTGTTATCTTGGTTTCGTATTCTTCTGGTAAGTTCTGCCATTTCTGCATATTCCATAAAATTTGGAATCTATTCCTCTTTCCCTCGGACTTCTTCTTTCTATTATTGGACAAGTAACCCAAGAAACCACACTGGAGACTCGTGGTGTTTTTTAAATATATATATATATTTATTTATATAATTGGGGAAACTGGGTTGGGGGGGGGAGAACTGTCTTGGAGCTCCAGTTTCTCCCCAAAATGTTTTCCCTTACTGACTTCGCAGGGGTGCGGATGTCAGTTTTGTCCCTGGGCGGGGACAGATAGTCGCAACCAGTGCCTAAGCTACCACTCGCATTTTGTATTTTAATAAAGTTGTGGCCCAAAATTATGCCAAAAAACCTTAAACAAAAATTCCTGTGCGAAGTGTGAATTAATTTGGGGGTGGCTTGGGGACCTCGACACGCAATGAATTCTGCACGGAAAGAAGCACTTTCTTTTGTCTGGCGGGAATCATCGAACCTTCAGCTTGATCGGATGTCCCCAAGTCTTAATGTTATGGGAGAGGGTGAAAATGGATGCTCACCGCTTCCCTGATGGGCATCAGTTGCAAACCTATGCTCTCCGCCTCCTTCCCAGCCAGCCACATCCACCCGGTCACCGGCTGAGTGGAAATGCCATTACAACCATAGGGGCGTTACCTCCCGACCAGTAGCTGGGTTCAAATGAGCCAATCAGGACTCAGGGCTTTGAGAATTCCTTTACTGCTCACGGCCAAGACCAGCTGAGCAGCAACACCTAAAAGAGCCAGTTGTGCTAAAATCCTGGCTCGACCTGCAGTGGTTTCAGCCCCCCCCAAAAAAGGTAAAGGACCCCTGGACAGTTAAGTCAAGTCAAAGGCGACTATGTGGATTGCGGCACTCATCTCGCTTTCAGGCTGAGGGAGCCAGCGTTTGTCCAGAGACAGCTTTCTGGGTCATGGGGCCTGAAGGACTAAACCGTTTCTGGCACAACAGGACACCGTGACAGAAATCAGAGCACACTGAAACGCCGTTTACCTTCCCGCCGGAGCGGTACCTATTTATCTACTTGCACTGGTGCACTTTCGAACTGCTATGTTGGCAGGAACTGGGACAGAGCAACAGGAGCTCACCCCCATCGTGGGGATTCGAACTGCCGACCTTCTGATCGGCAAGCCCAAGAGGCTCAGTGGTTTAGACCGCAGCACCACCAGAGTCCCTTCAGCCCTCCAGCAGGAGGCTGAAATGGATATACACCCAACACCTGAGCCAAAGATCCACCTACACCTGTAATCAATAAGGTTGTGGCCATTTTCAATCCCATCAGTTGTCTACCTGAGTCTGTTCTGCCACAAGTTAGCTAGTTGCTGGCTTGGGGGTGGGGAGGATAGCTCTGTGGCTGGGCCTGCAAACTTTCCCTCACTTTATTCACACCATGAGTAAATTTACACACCTCTATAACATCCCCACTTACTTGCCTTTTCTCTGAACCAAAAAGCCCTAAATGTTGCAACCTTTCCTCACAGTGGAGTTGCTTCATCCCCTCAGTCTTCTTTTCTTCCTCATTTCTGAACCTTTTCCAGCTCTTACAATACCCTTTTTGAGGTGACCGTACCAGCACAGTTCATAGTATAATATTCCAAGTGTAATCACACCTTAAGGTAAAGGTAAAGGGACACCTGACAGTTCAATCCAGTTGCAAACGATTCTGGGGTTGTGGTGCTCATCTCGTTTTACAGGCCGAGGCAGCCGGTGTTTGTCCGCTTCCGCAGACAGTTTTTCTGGGTCATGTGGCCAGCATGACTAAGCTACTTCTGGCAAAACCAGAGCAGTGCACGGAAACGCCATTTACCTTCCTGCCGGAGTGGTACCTATTTATCTACTTGCACTTTGACGTGCTTTTGAACTGCTAGGTTGGCAGGAGCTGGGACTGAGCAACGGGAGCTCACCCCATCGCGGGGATTCGAACCGCCAACCTTTTGATCAGCAAGCCCAAGAGGCTCAGTGGTTTAGACCACAGTGTCCCATAATCACACCATAGGTTTGTATTAATAGCATTGTGATAATGGCAGGGTTATTCTCAATCTATGTCCTAAGGATTTCTAGCATGGCATTCACCTATTTCACAGCTGCCACATGCTTGTTTGACATCTTCATCAAGCTATCTGCTACAAGCCCAAGGTCTCATTCCTGGACAGCCATTATGAGTTAACCCACCCCATGTGAATATATGTGAAATATAATTTCCCCCCCATTGTGCATCACTTTGCAGTTGCATTTACCATTTTACTGTTTTAACCACCCTGTTAAGAAGCAGTTCTTTTGTTTCTGGTTCTAACATGTAATTAAGAACTGTGTTTCCTGTTACTGAGGCAACACTAACTTCCTCTGTTTAGCAATAAAAACGAGAGTTGCTAAGTGTCTGGACATGAGTAATTAATTAAGACACATAATTATACAATGTTCCGCTAATAAAATTCTAGTTCTTTCATAAAACTGAATTATCCAACAATACAATTCAGAGGTCTTTGAAATAAATATAAAACTATGAAATATTAGTTCTTTGTATACTGAGCCAACCAGAAATGGAGTAACCACCCATTTTCAGTTGTAATAATTTCAAAGTACAGTGGTACCTCAGGTTACATACGCTTCAGGTTACAGACTCCACTAACCCAGAAATATTACCTCGGGTTAAGAACTTTGCTTCAGGATGAGAACACGGCGGCAGCAGGAGGCCCCATTAGCTAAAGTGGTGCTTCAGGTTAAGAACAGTTTCAGGTTAAGAACGGACCTCCGGAATGAATTAAATACTGAACTCGAGGTACCACTGTATATACTTAACATTCATTCAGGGAAAATATGTTTTATAGGATGGTGAATTTGTGGCTCTCCAGATTCTGGACTACAACTTCCATCAGACATTGTGGCCAACAGCAAAGTTGATGGGAGTGGTAGTCCCAACAACTGAAGGAACACAGATGAATATCTCTGCCTATGATCTCCCTAAACTACGAAGCTCTTACAGCAAGTTGAATTAAGAAGAAAGTGGTGGCAGAACAGGGACTTCCCCTGCACACGAGACCAATAGTGGGCCAGAGGTTGAGAAGGTGTTTTCTGCATGTGCTGTAGAGGAAAGTGGGGGGCAGATGGGGCTCGTCAACCTGGGAGGGTTGTTCATCTAGGAGAAGGAAAACTCTGATCCTAAGCCTCCTCTGCCTTACAGGATATCTTTGGGAGAAGAAAAGGCCAAGGGGTTCCCAGACTGTGGTCAGGTGACCACCAGTATCCTGTGAACTTCATTCAGGTGAATTTTAATCTGTTTCAGTATTTTAACTTTCTGTATGTTCCGAAGCATTGTTGTCACTCTTTCGTGATTTTATTGTTTTATCTCTACCAAGTGGCATATACATTTTATGAAATAAAAAAGGGACAAATAAATGTATGTTGCTCTTTTTCTTTCTCATGTTGCATTACTCTTTGGATTCCGGGGAATGCAAACTGTGATGCAATGAAATACAATATAAGAAAGAAAAGAAGCAACAAAAGTACAGCGGTAAATCATACAGCACGCAGCACACTGCATTCCAATTGCTGTAAGAAGCAGAAAAATATTAGCTGGTCTGCCAAGACCAGCAGCAATTTTCAAGTACTGTAGTCCATAGTGGGAGGTGGGGAGTGGAGTTTGAGAACTAGTGCTTTAGGCCAATAATTTCTGTAAAGTGTTCTGTAAGTCCACCAAATCTACTTGTGTTTGTTATGTAATAACCTTTTATGTTATATATAGGTTAGGTTAATTGCATACACCTATGATACACATAATTTTAACAGCAGTGCTGCAGGTCAGGAGTCATATGTAATTTGCCTAAGTGCTCATGAAAGACACTGTATAATTATATTTTTATAAAGGAAGTTCAGAGATGTTTACAGGTCTTCTTGTGGAGGAACCCTGTCAGAAAGAGGACATGCCAGTATCCAACACAATTTGGCCACAGTCTGGAAGACATCTCCGATGTTGGAGGCTGTGGAGTGTCACGATTATCATTGTTGCATCAGTACAGACCTCTACGCAAATCCTCAGATGCAGACGTCATTGCTGAAGCTTCCAAACCTGACCAGAATCCCTTTGGTTAAGTAAGTTCGCGGGATGAGCCAGGTAGACGACACCTGAAATAAGAGATTGGCGTGCACTCCAGAAACTTGGAAAAAACCGAACTACAAAATTGCACTCCTCTCTAGAGCAGAGCAAACGAGGTCCGCCCATTCACAGTGCTGAAAGCAAATTCTATCTCATACTTTATGGGGCCATTTTTACTTCCTGTTATATATTCTCAGTCTTCAGGTCTTTGTTTTTCAAACAGAAGTGCTGAAATCATTTGTGGGTTCGGAAATTAGGAAGACAAATGGATTGTGTCATATGTTTCATCCTCCCATGGAGTCAGGATTATACCGGTTTGTATAATCTTAGTGGTTTGCTCAGGCTAGCAACAATGTGACTCAAACAAAGGGACTTACAAAATTTCCTTAGGACTACTTTTTTTTTTTTAATGCAACAACTATGTAATGACTCCATCCATTAACCCTTTATATGGATGCTAAATGGAGAAAAGAAATGGAAGCAGTGAGAGATTTTACTTTCTTGGGCTCCATGATCACTGCAGATGGTGGCAGCAGCCACGAAATTAAATGACGCCTGCTTCTTGGGAGAAAAGCAATGACAAACCTAGACAGCATCTTAAAAAGCAGAGACATCACCTTGCCAACAAAGGTCCATATAGTTAAAGCTATGGTTTTCCCAGTAGTGATGTATGGAAGTGAGAGCTGGACCATAAAGAAGGCTGATCGCCGAAGAATTGATGCTTTTGAATTATGGTGCTGGAGGAGACTCTTGAGAGTCCCATGGACTGCAAGAAGATCAAACCCATCCATTCTTAAGGAAATCAGCCCTGAGTGCTCACTGGAAGCACAGACCATTAAGCTGAGGCTCCAATACTATGGCCACCTCATAAGAAGAGAAGACTCCCTGGAAAAGACCCTGATGTTGGGAAAGATGGAGGGCACAAGGAGAAGGGGACAACAGAGGACGAGATGGCTGGATAGTGTTCTTGAAGCTACCAGCATGAGTTTGACCAAACTGTGGGAGGCAGTGGAAGACAGGAGTGCCTGGCGTGCTCTGGTCCATGGGGTCACGAAGAGTCGGACACGACTGAGTGACTAACCACAACATGTAATGACTCCATCCATTAACCCTTCCTATGGCTGCTAAATGCTCCTTTCTTAATTACAATGAACCACTCCTATTTCTTAACAACCCAAGGGCCCCTTCATATATCACCATAGCAGTGCAAGACCTGCTTTCCTGTAGGCTTGTCCCACACCACTAAACTAATGTTTGAAGGTCCATAGTCACATGGCTGGAGCCACTCATGTAGGCACCTTCCATACAGACAGGTGGCAACTGGGTGGGAAGGAGTCATTTCGTCAGCTTCCAGATGTTACGGTGAGGACACAGAAAAAGGTCACAGCAGTAAGCCTTCTGCACTACTCAGGTAAGGCATAAAGTGGCCCTAGATGACCTATATTTCTTCAGAAGTCAACAAAACCATGCTGGATTTCTCCAGTTCTGCACTAGAACTTGTATTTGTCTTGACATTCAGCTTCCTGGGAATCTTAACTTTTGAACATTTTGTTATTTAGCTCCTAGTCCACATGGTAGAGCTTCTGAGGTGCCACTACAGAAAACACCCTGTCTCAAGTCACTGCAGTTACTGGAAGGACCTCTCAATGATATTTCAGTGCTTCGGCAGGTGGTGGTTGTTGTTTTGTTGTTGTTGTTTTATTGAATTTACAGTGGTACCTTGGGTTACTGACACTTCAGGTTACAGATGCTTCAGGTTACAGACTCCACTAACCCAAAAATAGTACCTCAGGTTAAGAACTTTGCTTCAGGATGAGAACAGAAATTGTGCAGCAGTGGCGCAGTGCCAGTGGGAGGCCCCATTAGCTAAAGTGGTACCTCAGGTTAAGAACAGTTTCAGGTTAAGAATGGACCTCCAGAACGAATTAAGTTCTTAACCCGAAGTACCCCTGTATATATACTGCACTATACCCAGAGGTCTCAGGGCGGTTCACAGAATAAAATCAAGATATAGAACCACAAAATACATAAAAAAACAACAACAACCCAATACCCCTCCACACACAAAAAACACACACATTTGAAAAGGGCACAGGGTGTAGATCAGATCAACCAAAGGCCTGGTTAAAAAGGAACGTTTTTGCCTGGTGCCTAAAGGTATATAATGAAGGCGCCAGGTGAACTTCCCTGGGGAGAGCATTCCACAGACGGGGAGCCACTGTAGAGAAGGCCCTGTTCTCGTGTTGCCACCCTCTGGACTTCTCAAGGAGGAGGCACACGAAGAAGGGCCTCAGAAGATGATCTCAGGGTCTGGGTAGGTTCATATGGAAAGAGGTATTGTGATCCCGAGCCTCTGAAAGCTTTATAGGTCAAAACCAGCACTTTGAATTGGGTCTGGAAACTAATTGGTAGCCAGTGCAGTCAGACCAGGATCAGTGTAATATGCTCAAACCGTCTTGTTCCAGTGAGCAACCTGGCTGCCGAATTCTACACTAGCTGAAGTTTCTGAACCGTCTTCAGAGGCAGCCCTACGTATAACGCATTGCAGTAATCTAGCCTTGATATAGGTTGATATAGGAAGAAGCGCTCCTCCTTGAATCCCAAGTCGGCTACGGCTTGATATGTTCAGCAGCAACACCTTGAATTGGACCTAGGAGTGTACAGGCAACCAATGCAGACCTCATAACACCGGTATTACCGTATTTTTCGCTCTATAACACGCACCCGACCATAACACGCACGTAGTTTTTAGAGGAGGAAAACAAGAAAAAAAATATTCTAAACGAAATAGTGGATGTATGGTTTTTGTGGTTCATGCTGTGGCCACAGACATGTGATCTGACAGTGAGTTTGGAGTAGCCCAATGCAAAAATCCTGAGGATCCATGTGGATCGTGCCTTGTGACCACGTTTTAAGTGGGGAGGGAAGGAAAAGCACTCAAGGGACAAGGAACACGCATGGGGGGTGTGGAGAAGGATGCTGCTAATAATGCAGAAGAGGGGTTTAAGGGGAGAAGGAACACACGGGGGGTGGGTGGAGAAGGATGCTGCTAATAATGAAGAAGAGGGGTATAAGGGGAGAAGGCTCCTCTCCTCTCCTACTTTGCTCCTTTAAAGCAAGCAGGCTCTCTGTCCCTCTCCTCCCCACTCAGCAGCTCTTCTCCCGCTTTGCTGTTTCAAAGCGAGCCACGGAGGAGGGAAGAAAGGGGAACCATGGATCCTCTGCTCACGACTGCAGCAGCTCCGCACCCACCACCACCCGTAGGCATTCGCTCCATAACACGCACAGACATTTCCCCTTACTTTCTAGGAGGGAAAAAGTGAGTGTTGCGGTGCAAAAAATGCGGTATATGGTTAAGATTGGCTATTTTGCTCAACACTCAGGTGTCACATTCCATTTGTGTCAGAGCTCCAGGCTATCTACAAGGGTATATCTATGCAGAGGGACGTGGGTGGCACTGTGGGTTAAACCACAGAGCCTAGGACTTGCTGATCAGAAGGTTGGCGGTTCGAATCCCCGCGACAGGGTGAGCTCCCGTTGCTCGGTCCCTGCTCCTGCCAACCTAGCAGTTTGAAAGCACGTCAAAGTGCAAGTAGATAAATAGGTACCGCTCTGGCAGGAAGGTAAACAGCATTTCCGTGTGCTGCTCTGGTTTGCCAGAAGCGGCTTAGTCATGCTGGCCACATGACCTGGAAGCTGTACGCCGGCTCCCTCGGCCAATAAAGCGAGATGAGCGCCGCAACCCCAGAGTCGGTCACGACTGGACCTAATGGTCAGGTGTCCCTTTACCTTTATATCTATGCAGAATGCACTACTTGGAAGTAAGACATGTATAAGACTGCTCTGCTAACTACAGTGGTACCTCGGTTTAAGAACAGTCCGGTTTAACAACGATTTGGTTTACAAACTCGGCAAAACTGGAAATAGTGTCTTGGTTTGAGAACTTTACCTTGGTCTAAGAATGGAATCTGAACGGTGGAAGGGAACTGGCGGTGGGAAGCCTCATTAGGGAAAGCACGCCTCAGTTTAAGAACGGTTTTGGTTTAAGAACGGGCTTCTGGAACGGATGAAGTTCGTAAACAAAGGGTACCACTGTTCTTAGAAAATGTTCTTAGAAAAGAGTGATAGAAATAACAAAACAAATAGAAGCAGACCTTTTTTCACGGCAG